GGAAGTGCTACTGAGGTTGCGTTTGTTCGGTGCCACGTGACAATATCGAGAAAACATTATCACTGTACAACTCACGACAATTGGTACGGGCTGACAGATGTTGCTTGATTGACGAAGTGCGATTCTTAGCTCCGTTGGGTGTTGTCTCCTTCAATGTCCCGTCATCTCGCCTCTTCGTGGCATCACCACTATCCGTCTCTTCGCGTTTCCGCGGCCTTCCACGTTTCTTGACACTAACCGTTGGGTGCGCGATGCCCAGTGTTCTTTCAGCTACGTCTCCTCCATTGCGGATTTCTACTGAGCTTCTTACTCCCACTTGTCTGGTGTCCGATATTGAGGTTAGTTTTCGCGGTCTACCACGTTTTCGAATATTGACTGTTGTTGTCACTTCCGTTGTCGTTGTACGTTCGTCCTCCCCAGTCCGTATTTTTATTTGGCTTCGCGTCACCCTTCCCGACGCCGACAGATGCTTTGTCAATTTCGGTGGTTTACGTGTCGGTCTTTCACCATCTTTCATGCTGTTCTCAGCTCGCCCGTGTCCTACACACGCAGAGGAGTACGGGCATGCAGTCACATCTTCACGGGAAGAGGAAGATCCACTGATGGACTGGACAGCACATTTTGGAGGAAGACCACGGCGAGGACGACAATCGCGCGCATCAAGTGCCGTTAAGGTGTGTTCCGCTTGATGCTTTCTTTCTCTTCTTTGTTCATTTTTCAGTTGCAAGTTTAGTGTTAGTACACACATTCGTTATTGCTCTCGCTTTCATTGTTAAAATTCACACTTGTAATTTTCACTGCTGTTGTTCTTAGTGTTATTTCTCTAACTTAGATTTTCTATAATAGTTCAATTTGGTTTTCAGTGTCCTTGAGTACAACGAAGATTCCTGATGAGTGTTGTACGAAAACTTGTTTGAATCCCTTTTTTTCTCTACACAAGTTCTTCACATTTTCATCGTTTTATTGCACATTGTCTCCAAAGTTTTACATCACATGAATACAGTGTACACAAATGTCGATCCGGCTTGTATTACTGATTGCGGTTATCAAATAATAATAATAAGAAGAAGAATAAGAATTTTAATATGGCAATAAGTAGGACGAGCTGAAGCGACATGTGGACTACTTTATTAACAATGTAAGCGATGGAGACGATGCAAGAAACAATCTAAAGGGTAAATAAAATACATGTAAGAAGAAAAAGGGCAATGGAAAAAAAGATGATTCGAACAAGTTTTCGTACAACACTCTTCAGGAATCACCGTTGTACTAAAGAACAAAATGAGAACAAAGGAAATAATATAGCAATCAAGGTAGGGTGACACGATACAATGACAGCACTGGAATATCGAGGTGCGATTTCTCACAAAAGTGTGTAGAACACAAGGGTATACAAGTAAGAACTAAGCGTGACAAGTGTGTATCAGCAACAAAAACAAAAAAAGTGAGAACGAATGATAATAATAACAATAATAAACAAGAAGGTGACAAAACACATTTAGGCACAAGTGGCAACAACGTTGCCACACTACACAAAAGAACATTATTTGAACAATTTTAGGGTAATAACACTATCTTTCTGGACACACAAATTCGGCTTATGAATGCGCTGACAAACAGCTTCCAAAACTTGTAACTGCACAAGATAACCATGACGAGCACGGCACAAAACAGAAAAACAGGAATCAGAATAAGTACGACAACAGTCAGTACTAGAAACCAAATGATTGTATACTGAAGACTTATTACGAGACGGACGCACACAATCTCGACTCACGCGCACACCCTCACACTCACTCTCACCCTCACTGTCCGAATCAGAACCTGCTCCGTCATCCACAGCGGTTCGACTCTCCTCCTCACTTGCATCGTCCTGCGTTTCACCTTCACCACCCACGCCAACCGTGAATGCCGTTGCCTAAGAATAAGAATGCAATGAATATAACTAAATGCGCACTCATATCACAACCATGGGGACGAATCATGTATTCCAGAACGTTTTCTTGTCACAATTATCAATGGAATTCGTGACTAAAGAGAATGATGAAACTACAATAGGATTTATACACTTGCAGTGGAACAGCGAGGATACAAGCATAGTAAGAAAAATAGCACAAACCTAGGAACAATTTGCACAGGTAATAAACTATAGGTGAGGTGAGAAATGATAGGAAATTCAGCAAGTGCAGTGTGACAATGGACATGCATGTGTAAGTGTGTGTGAGTGCGAATTTACTGGAATAGCGTATTTACTGGAATAGCGTAATTTCCTATCATTTCTCACCTCACCTATAGTTTATTACCTGTGCAAATTGTTCCTAGGTTTGTGCTATTTTTCTTACTATGCTTGTATCCTCGCTGTTCCACTGCAAGTGTATAAATCCTATTGTAGTTTCATCATTCTCTTTAGTCACGAATTCCATTGATAATTGTGACAAGAAAACGTTCTGGAATACATGATTCGTCCCCATGGTTGTGATATGAGTGCGCATTTAGTTATATTCATTGCATTATTAAGATTATTGTCTCCACGTCGCCTTTTTAAATAATAATAAGGTTCGATTAAAATACTAAGAACTATCCTTAACATGTAGATGCACCTCTGCTGCGTTTGCATGTTCAATAGCTAAGAGACTTGAATGACGACTGATAAAGACTGATATTTCCTTTGTTACTCCCTTCATTGGTTGATGTATTTTGCCTGTCGCTGCAAATTCTTTATAATTGTTTTGATGTTGGAGTTCGGATTGAGTTTCTTTCCTTTCTTCCTCTTCCTTCAACTATTTCTTGTCCCTTTGGTTTTTAGGTTTTATTTTATTTGTTTATTTTTTTCACTTTCTTTTTGCTGTCCCACCCATGGAAATATTTCCCGGTGGGTCTGGATTATCGCCTTCGAAAGAAGTGAATAAAGGAGACAAAATAATATCTGCAAAGCAGCAAGGAAACCCAACGAACTTCAAGCTGTCCGAGTACATTGCTAGTTGCCACCCAGCAGTTTTGTGTCACAGTGTACGATAGACAGCTGTGCTCTCACACTTACATGTCCAGTATTTACTATCTTCCTAGCATTGCTGCCGTTGGTGGTGTTGTTTTTGTTGTCGTCGTCGTCCTTGTTGTCGTCATCGTCGTCGTCGTTGTCGTCGTTTTTGTTCTTGTTGTCGGAACAGTTTACACTGCAACTGCCAAGTTGTGACCTTTTCATAGTTTCACCTTTGTTACCGTCGCACATGAACAGTCTGTATATGTACATTTGACCTCCCCCCCCCCCTCCCCCCCCCCCCCCCAGAAAACCCACGGCAATATTAATTTTATGCACTTATTTATTATTTATATATTTATTACAGCATCTCATAGCACAGTGAGAACACCGGCCAATACAAAGAGAGAGGGTGTGGTGTTAGCCAACCACGGCAAGGAAGGGAGAAGCTGAACATTGTACATCTACTAGTATCGGGTATGTGCATGCCTCCCCGGCAATTCCGTATTTGTTCAGGACCACCCCCCCCACCCCACCCCACCCCCACCCCCACCCCTGAGAATACTGTAAAGGCTTGGCAAAATTATACATAATTATTATTGTCATGTCACTCATGTTATTGCCTTTGTGTAGAACGTGTCTGGGGCATGCCGACTGTGCTGCTAACTTACGTTATGGGACATCATGTTTGTACCCCATACCACTGTAGCATGCGTAGACACACACACACACTCACACACACACACACACACACACACACACACACACACACACACACACACACACACACACACACACACACACACACACACACACACCTTTGGAAAGCCAATCGCCGAACACACACACACACACACACACACACACACACAAACACACACACACACATGGACACACTCACGATAAGCTGTGAATTTCAGGACTAAAAACAGGAATGAAGTGAAATAGCTTTGCTATACCCTCTCCACTCAATAAAAGAATTGCTTTTCGAAAGACAATAAAACTATTATTGTATTACCACTAATGTTACAAATGTTTTCAAACTATTATATTATCGAGTAGATGGTTGTACATAGCGACAAGTATAGACGTTAGCTATTGGAATTCAGTTAAGCATTAAATTATTGTGATGATTCTCCACAAGGAAGCAGCGGTTAGTGATTGAAGCACATTACGATCCAACTATCTTGCACGGAACGCTTTTGAATGGAAGGCGTGCTTGCAGATACACAGACAGTCTGAGTGTGTACGTGCGATATCGCGACAAAAGACAATGGGTATGGGGGGCGAGTGCTTTCCGACTCGGTGGTCTTGCTGAAGTAAATGGCAATTAATTATTGAGCATCCACCATAATATGCATGAATGTGCACAGGAAAGATGATTAAAAGGGTTCACTAAAACAAGCCAGATCAATCAGACCGTGGGTCTTAATGCTAGGACATTATGTTAGCTATGATTATAACGGAGAAGCAGCAAGTTTACTAGAGAATAATTATTTTACGACCAATTATACCACAATAAATTATTTTACGATAAATTTTTCCAACATAGATTATTTCACCATTAGGTGAGTAAATGATTAACACCGATGTGAGTTTGGTCCATTTGCATCCGTGCCTTCAGTACCCTGGAGCTGAGCCTTTTCACACAGCACGGATTTGCTTCTGGCGGCTAGCATCTGCTTCCTGAGGTAGGGTGCCAGAGGCTCGTACTCCTTGTCCCCCAGCTCAGTCACCTCGACGGTGTGTGTGATATGGTCCGTATGCACCCGGCCGAGCGATGCTCTCATCATGCTGCCTTGTGCGCCACTCGTCTCCGCAGTGTAGTCTTCGGCAAAGCAGCTAGCATCATCCGTCCACACGGCACTGAGTGTAGCAGAGCGAACGTCAGCGACGGACCTCCCGGCGCTGCGTGCTGGCAGTCTGTTGCCGTCTGCACACGTTATTTCAGATGTGGCTTGCGAGACGTCACCAATTTCGATATCAAAGTCGATCTTCTCGCCATTGGAGATGCGCTGGACTTGGGGAACTGCTTTTCCTGGCGTTCCGGTCGTCACTCTTGAACTAGCACCAGCGCCAGGTTTGCTTATGTTTCCACCATCTGCATATTCATCCTCATCAACAGCATGCGCATCTGCCAGCATCATTGACTGAGCCTTTTTGGTTTCTCGGCTGGTGCCCAGGGCAGTGTTTGCCTGCACTGTCTGCATGTGTCGGATATCAGTTTTCTGAGGCATAGGGAAGAGATCCGAACCTTGCGATTCAGCAGTGCCCATGCGAACAGGTTCTACTAGTGCTGCCTCCCCACACGCTCCACCTCCTGGCTGTCCACCATCTCCTTCATAGGCAGCTGATCCAGTACCCATGGGCTCTACAGCAACCGCCTGATATGTAGGTTCGGACGCGCGCGTGGCGGACCTCTGGTTAGGGAATGCTGCATTGTCGCGACTCGCAACTTCCAAATCTCTCCCTGTTATATACCCCCCTGATTCGGCTCCTGATGCTTGTAGGGCGACCGCCTGATACATGGGTTCAGGACCACGTTTGCCGGCACTCAGGGTAGAGAATGCTGCATTGCCACGCCCCGCCACCTCCGGCTGTCCTCCTGCTTCGTAGCTAGCTATGTCAGCGCCCGTCGCGTGTATAGCAAGTGCCTGATATGTGGGTTCAGGAACGCGTTTGGTGGCGCTCAGGTTAGATCCGGATGAAATGAATGCACTCCCCTCCGCATGCGGGTCTCCATCCATTACGTTCTCGCCCGACAGCGCAGAATTGAGAAAGGCGCTGCGCGTGGCTTCAGGAGCGTGTCTGCCGGCAAATAAGGTCGCAGCAGATGCAATGAATGCAGCATCACCTTCTCCATGCAGATCCCCATCCATTCCATTCCCGCCGGAAAGGGCAGAATTGCCAAAAGCGCTCGGCATAGTCAAATCGTGACCATCCGCTGTGCTCGACAATATTGTAGTGTTCGAAACGGATCCTGGAATGTGATTATGCACCGACACTACAGGTGTGAGTATGCCGCCGCGGTGCACATTATCGTACATGTACGAACTCTGTTGATTCCGGCCTAGAAAGGTCTTTGCAATGGCGTGAGTGTATTCCGTGTTATGCAAGTTTTCAGTGGACATGCTATGGGGCACTGCATACGCACCGTGCTCCTTATCTGCATGCTCCTGACGACTGCCAAGCTGCGAACAGAGATAGCCACCCTGATCCGAATGCGACAGTGAGTCGTAGAGATGCTGGCTGTATTCATCCGCATTGCTGCTCAAGCTGTACTCGTTGTCGGTGGACATGCTTCCGCCGATAGCCCTGCCAATGGCTCTGGAATACGTCGACTGGTCATCGGCACTTGTGCCGTCGTCGAGAATAAACGAGCTAGGGCCCGAGCCATTGTTGACTTCCGAGAACATAGAGCAGAGAACTTCTTCGCCTGGACCCCATCTGATGGACGTTGTCGACATACATGAAGGCGACATGCAACCGTCCTCCCTCGAGTCCACACTGGCGACACCGCTCTTGGGGAATTTAGCCAGCATGTACGCTCCATTAATCCTGCCCCAATCCATGCCCACGTCGTAATCTATTTCGGCAGGGTAGTCTGATTGCGCTCCACCCTCCTGCTGTCGTGTGCTGGACAGAACACAAGAGAGACAGGCACAATGGAATTCAGGAGATAGACCGAATTACACATACAAGTACTCTCTTTTTAAATGCACTCATTTATTCACTCATGGTAAAAAAAAGGAGAAAGACGAAACATTACGAGTTAGGACTAACAGTCCACAAACGTAACATTTTGTCCGTCTCCCTTTTACAATAATTACATTGGCTCACCATCCGAGTTCAAATTTATTCACTCATTCATTGATTTGACGCATGTGCACAGGGAAACACACACACTGCAAGATGGCATTGAGACACGCACTGACTGTGGATACGTCAGAGAAGCATCAAATTAGGAAGATATCAGTGTGCCCTGTCATGGTTGCAAGCCCCCCCCCCCCCCCCATCCCACCACCACCCATAATACTCCTGTCAATTGAAGAGAGAAAGAACACTGGAAGAAATTTGAACGTGCTGCTGGTATTGCTCTTATCTACTTTTCTCATTTCTCCTGCTGGCAGTCATACCGTGGTAATCAAACTCACACTATGCATGCACATAGCATGCCACTCACTCACACCACATATCCGTGCATAAATCCACACCCACCAGCCTTCTCTGCGCGGACAGCAGCCATAGCAAGAAGAGAGGAAAAAAAGACTTGCCTACCTCGTTCCGTTTTCTTTCATCATGGTCAGGGTGCCATGCTTCTTTCGCTTGTCCTTCTTGGTCATGAAGAACATGATTCCCATCACAGCCAGGAGCATGCAGATAATGGCACAGATCAGTAAGATAATGAAGCCTGTACTGAGGCCAGACTTTTTAGAATTGACACGCACTGGAGGTGTACTGGACGCATTCACTGCTGCCGAGGAATTTGTGGGTTCTGCACACAACAAAAAACACACGCATTCCGATACAGAAAAATGTTCGCATTTGCTCAATTCCAATATAGGCTAGGTGATAGCATCATGGGTTCAGCTGCTTGAGCAAAGTCGTGGCAGCACAGCACCGCACTAGTCACCCACCCTGTGTATTTAGCGCCCATGAGCGGTTCCACTAATACAACGTATCGTAATTTACGGAGTATAAGCCACGCTGGATTATAAGCTGCACCCCCCCCCTCCCCCTTTCTGCCACGAAATACAGTAAAAATGAGGCTGTGATACTGACATTCATCGATCCTAATTTAACCCTTTAAGAGCCACAGGAAAATTTCAAAATTCTGCATTTTTTCGTGTTCCTTGAATCATAGCTTCAATTCTACTCACTCAATCCTCACAATCTAGGGCTTCCTGGAAAGGTCTCCGGGAGAGGAAGAGAATGAGGTCAATCATGATAGCCAGCACACCATCTATCCAGCGCTAGATCGCAGCGACAGTACGAAAAATGCCCCAAATGCGCCCAATCGCGTCCCGCTCCAGATATTTCATTTTGCTCGATCGTGGAGTTCCAATTTTTTCGCTGTGTACTCTTGACAATATCAACAGTGAAACCCGTGCAAATTCGAGTAAACCAGCGTGACGAAAAGTCTCAAAATTCTCAATACTAAAGTCGCACTGCGCGCTTTTGAAATTGCCGCGATCGCGGCTCAACTTACGAGTGATTTATCTCAGGAACCGTTGCTCGCAGCGCTTCGCGGATTGTTTCTCCCGACAGGTGAGAGTTTTCTCTTCGCCCTGGATATTTCGATCACTGGATTTGAGCGAGATTGGACTGAGTTACGATCTTTTGAAGTTTTGCATTTGAATGCGTCGTTTACGACGCATTCAAGTATGGGGCGGCTCTTAAAGGGTTAAGTTAATTCGAGTTTAGCTCTGCACACCTGATATTTCATATCACTACAGTATTTTCCGGAGTATAAGCCAAGCTGGAGTGTAAGCCGCACTGGAGTATAAGCCGCACTGGAGTGTAAGCCGCACTGGAGTAACTGGAGTAAGGCGCACCCACGCCCCATTTTTCGGCCAGGAAATACACGACGTCTACCCTATTTTTCACCGTTAATTTGATCATCGGAGTATAAGCCGCAAATTGACTGGTCGTGATGGAGGAAGATGCAGCCAACATCATTGACGGGGAAACCGCGTACATGATTGTGATGTGCTCGCTGCTGCGACTGCAACTGACCTGGTATGTTCTGAGGCAGTGAACAAGCAAGAAATCATCATGTATTCTTTTGTCACATAACCACTTGACAAGACCAAAATGCGACAGCACTTGGTCAAGTGTGTCCGTGGTGGGAAATTGCTGCAATTCCCCGGATGTAGTGGCAATGGCATGTAGGATGTTGAGCAATGCTCGCTATCACTGGACATCAGGACTGTTCCCCGAGGGCTGATAAAGCTGCAGCTATTCGTGTAAGTATTTGTACTTCGATGTGGTTTACATCACTCAAGGTCTTGCAAGAAAAGTATTTTCCTGTGAACACCAGGAATGTTTTGCCGAATATTTATGACCAGGCAGAAGAGCCGACAAAAGGCATCTCATTATTGTTAGAACGTATCGCAGCAAGAACAACTACACAAGCGCAGCACATTTTTCCACAAGCATCAGCCATTCTTTTTGTCGTTTTGTCGGCTCTTCTGCCTGGATTTCGTTGACAGATGCGTTAAGCCCATGGATCCTTCCATGAGTGACATGCGAACTGTAACTATATACTATATATATATATGACCAACTCCAAAACTGGTTCGAACTAATCGCTATCAGGTTTGGCCTCTTTCCTCTGTGCTGCGCTAATGAATCCACAAAGGACGAAACAGCATGCTGTCCGCAGATTAAGTCTGTGTTTGTATTAAATAGAACCAAGCTTCTTGATGAGAGTGTACCTGTCAGATTGTGTACGTCCGGTGAGGTCTCATGTGGGTTAGCGGTGATTCCTGCTCCACTCTGGGTAGCTGAGAGCCCCGCTCCCCGTGGCCGAGTGGTGAGGGAGGATCCAGGTACCGTGGGCTTTAGTTCCCTTGTTATGGGCGCGGCGACGGTGGTTTGCGAGCCAGTCTGGCTTGAGGTCGTAGCTTTGTCTCCGTGTCTGGTGACGGGTACAACAGGATGAGCTGCAGGTGATACAAACAAGATCGGAGAAAGCTCAAAATGCCTAGTGACAAGAAGCTGCCAACATGTAGCGTGAACCAGATAAATCTAACATTTTTTTCAACGACCTCTTGAATGCCAAACATGAGATGGAGCTACAGGAAGCATGCACAAACTGAATCGTGGCAGTGGTGGTGAGGGTTAGGGAGCTCCACCGACCTGGTGTCTCGACTTCATGGCCACCTACGCCACATGTACCACATAATTTGGATATAGCAAACCCTTTGGATATAGAAAGGAAAAAGACACTATGGATACGAGTTAAGAGTAACTCTCCATCACTGTAACATGATACTTTACACAGTCTTGTGTCTTTTCCTTTCTACATTTATTTATGGCTCAACATCCGAGTTCCTTTGGATATAATGCGTTTTAGGAGCATCATACTAAACCCCAATGCAATACAGCTGCATTTAATCTTTGGCTACACTAAACATTCCAGTTCAGTCTTTCCACTGTTCACTAACACCGTATCATCAGGGATATGGATTTTGTACGGCAGTGTGTGCCTTGGGATTAACTATGATCATGACATGGCCACAGGGGAGTTACGCTATACTTCAGTACTTTGCAGGATCTTGCAATATTCTATAGCAGTCATTTGACCATGGATGCACAACACAATCTCTTATCGCAATTTGAGCATGAGCAGAGTAGGCTAACACAAGCAAGCAAAAATGTACTTAGATCAACTTGTGTGGGTAGAGAAGGCTAAAGAAAAAGTACTTAGATACACTTGCACCATGTGAAGTTCACCCACTGTCTTAGAGGGTTGAATTTGCCGGAGGCAGATAGCGGAATATATGAACAGGAGAATGAGTGGTTGCTGTTTCGTAACTCTGTGTTTCGAAAACAAACGGAATCGATCATTAGACGAAAATTGATTTTGATCTTACGATCGATTCGGTTTGTGAAACTCAGAGTTACGAAACAGCAACCGCTCATTCTTCTGTTCGTATAGATACACTTGTATGTGAAGGGTAGGCTAACAAAAAAAGTTCTCAGTTACACTTGCAGACGTAGGAGACGGTACCAGAAAAGTACTTAGATGCACATGTATGAATATGGCAGGGTAACCAAAAAAGTACTTAGATACACTTGTATGCGTAGGGTAGGAAAACAAAAAAGTACTCACGGACACAGTGGTGGTCCAGTACAGAACCTGTGCATCTCTCATTGGCCGAGCATGGTGTGTCGGCTGCGGGGATACTGGAACATGGGCCATGGCAGAATTCCGTCGTCAGATCTGCATGCAGAAAACCCATGCACAGTGACTTTAGCCACCAGTAACCCAGCATAATGGAACTTCAACAGGCAAGAACGGGGTGGTTTTTCCCTAGACATTTTATACTATGACAACATCAGGTGAGATGGTTTTTGCAAAGTTGCGGTACAACGACTCACTTCTCGCCAATTTACAACTCGCTGGCAATAAACGTGTAATGCATTGCGTCCAAAACATTTTCCGCTGACTGACCACTATGACATCATTCGCATCTCGGTATCCCAGATATCACCATAAGTACGCGTATCATGGCGTGTCCACTAAACCGAGTGGCTGGGGAGTGTTGTATATGACCGTGACTCATGGCTTGTGGGGCAATACCATACTGATGCACACTTTCTGTATTGATTTCCACTGCAAATAAAGTATACAACAACAGCACTGAGGTTCAGGCTTGTGACGAGTTAGCCGCAGTTCACTCTTTCAACCTAGCCTGGTGGTAATGTTGCAGAGAGAAATGACAGACATTTGAACAGTGTTGGGGATTTTTTTCCAGTGGCTGGTAGTTGGTTTGAGCGCCTGTCAATGGCACATCTCTATTTCTTCTCGAAACTTACTGTTATCCAAGAAATGCTGCACGTGCTTGTCAAGCACAATTGTGTTTGCAGATCCATGGATCTTGATCGAACACAAATGGTGGTTCAAGGGGAAGGGATTTCCCCTAAGATAGCTGTATACAAATGGCATAGACAAAGAACACAACATGCACAATCTAGTTCAGCTACTGCCGTATTCAATATGTTAGCACAATATTATTTTTTAAGAACTCAGATGGCGAGCCAAGGAAATTGTACCATGGAAATCGTGGGCACAGGTTATGCGATCATGCACGTCTGACTGTTCAAAATCTGGTTTAGTTGGTGGACTCGATCGCATAACTTGTGCCCACAATTTCCATGTTACACATATTATTTTTGTGGTTAATCCTAGCTTAAAGATGAGATCCAGGTGTGTGTTCACTATCATATTCCGAATAGTGTAGAACGGGTCATTTTAGCGACTATTAATTTTAGCGTTTTCCCATTGTCAACCGGCTAGCGACGTTTTATTTGAGCGATTTGCAGCGATTATACTCACGAATCATCAGTGCACTACCACTCGTACTAATGTCTCAACGGATTAGCTACTTGAAACTTTAGCGAAAATGAGTTGACCGCTAAATTCGCTAGGGTTTTTACGTCGCTACAATAACCCGTTCTTCAGTAAATATTATAGCAAGAAAGAAGTTGTGGAGTTCAGAAAATATTCAAGCAGCTGTTTGTTTCTTGCTTTTTACATACACTTGGCCGACTACCATTGTGAGTGCCTGCCAGATAAACAGGCGCGTGCACCGTATGAGTTTTTTGGTGTCTGGAAACCACCTTTTTTCGGGCAATCTTGCCAAAAGAAAAGCGTGTAGTACTGGATTGGTTATCGATCCTGCAAACGCATCGATCGACGGGCAGTTTACCATGGTTTACAGTACAGTGACTATGTCCTTATTTCGAAGTGAGAGAGAGTTGCTTTGCCTGCAGTTCGAAATACATTATTCTCTTTTTCTTCAGTGGAGAGTAGCCACGGAGGGATCAATCTCTAGCTCTGGTTCGCTCCTGGATTGGCGATGACGTTCAAGAAATCCGTTTTGTCTCGAAATTTGAGTCAAGCACGCGCGATACAAGTCAGTTCAAGGATATGATTGACGATATCTCCTTCCAAACCGTTGACTCAAATCAAGATCGCCACAGCCTTTCGTTCTCGCTCATGTGCGCAGCAGAGATGTTCGTCAAAAACGTTGTCGACTGGAAGACGTAAAAATGTGCGTCTATGATCCACTTGCGCTGCTTCAGAACGAAGCGCTGCTCCGGCCGCGACTCAAGGACGCGGGGCTTCGCTTTTCTTCCGCGAGCTTCCATCGAAGCAAGGTCCATAACTCTCTATTGAAATCATGTGGAACATTGCCAATACATGCTGAAAACTTCGTCATAAGAACAGAAAGAAAGAGACGTCGAATGTAACTTGTAAGCAGTGTTTTGATGAAACAAACAAGCCTGGAGTGGACTAGTGAAGTACCATAGTCTGATAGACATAGTGTTATAGACTGTAGTGTAGCCTGGGCAGCTAGGCCTATCAAACCTTTACGTGTTCAATAATTATGACAAACATGTATGTGAGTACATTGACTGTTGCACCCTTTTTGCAAATGCTTTTTGAAGTGCTGGTATGTAAAAGGTAACCCGTTTTATCCTGCTATCGATTATACATGTACCAACATTTCCATGTAACCGGCATCGTCCCCTCCCTCCATTCCTCTTTATTCTTATTTCTGTCCTTTCTACCCCTGTACCTGGTTCCCTCTCAGACGCGTTTGTGCCGGCATGATCTGATGATAGCATGCAGTCGGACGAGCCCCGCATCTCATCAGCACCAGTGTTCATTGGTGCCCTGCACCCCTGATCTTGAGTCCCCCCCTCCCTCCCTCCTCCCTAGCCGGCTGCCCTCGCCGTTATCTCCGACGGGATGTTCGGGGGATGCGCATGTGCACAAAATTCATACATAATTATACAATGGGGCCCCAGAAAAAAAATTATCAACTCTAGAAACCCCCCTTTCAAGACTCGGTGCACGCCACTGATAAACCGTGGGTTGCGTGCGAGAGACTACAATTCATTCATGGAAATAATTCTGCTCGATTTCAAAAGCTCGATTTTGGCCGTATTCAGGCTAAAAAACTAAATTTAAACTTTAGATAATGGGATGATGACTATGGTATGGTATGGTATTTTTATTTTTATTCACCAATTGAACAGGCATATCTGCCTTCTTGCCGGGATGGCCAGAGCCAACCATGGCTCCTACTAATTGATGAATATGAGAATGTGAAGCAAAAGAAAAGAAAAAAATGGTACTTTGTCAGCTATATATTCCGTACTCAACAAATTTGGAGAGGGCAGTATATGGATTCCATATTGAAGGACTATGGATGGTAAAGATGCTACTTGTGTTTTATGATAAAAGTGTACAGAGAGAGAGACTACAACATAGCTCAGTGGTTGGAGCATCGCTGGCTACAAGCGAGGGTCCCTGGTTCGAGTCCTGGTGGTGACTGTCAATTTTTTTCTTCAGACTTTTCCCGTTTTGCGTCTTTACCTCAAACCAGTGAAAATTGTAGATTTATAGAAAAGAAAAGGACCAAGAAACTGCAAGTTACACTATAATGTCCACTAACACCACCAGATACTAAACAAATAGTTCATGCGATAACATTGCACGACACTGACCAACCGTACTGACATTCTACAACTAGCTGCCACTCAGCTCTAGCACGTCTTGGATGCGCACTCCAGCAGCCTTCCAACTTGGAAGGTTCTTAGTTAAAGCTCTGCCCAAGCCACTGCTCGTGAAACAGATTAGCAACAGGCATCACCGAGTCTCAGCTTTTGCGCCAGTCTGCGCAACATTAACAAGTAGATTACGGACAGGAGGAGTGACGAGTACAAGACAAGAAATAGCGCTAAAGTTGGTGTATCTGAGATAGTGTGTGGATACACTATGCTATTTGAATCCTAATCTTTTCAACTTACACAGATGTTGGTTGCTTTTTTCCAATGAAAAGACTCGTTGGTATTTTGGTAAGGTTGTTATTGTCGAGATAACTATGCAAGCAGATAACAAAACACATAGGCACACACATGCGGCCATGAATACAGACGCAAACACACACACACACACACACACACACACATACACACACACACACACATACACACACACACATATATATACACACACACATATATATATATATACACACACACAAACACACAGATTACATGCATCCGTGCACGGTCTTGTGTCTTACGCTGGCCAACAATGACTGTGTATCAATATTATTTTGTACATCTGTGGACGCTACATGAAATCTCTCGTACAGTGGAGGACATAAATGCAAAGAAAATTCATTTACTCTATGGACACTCGATGGAGCTTTGGGACCGTAGCTGTCGGTATATAAACCGCGCTACATGCTACAATAGGGAGCTGGATGTCTAAGCAAATGTAGTTGTCCATACTGTGAGAGGATCACGGCAGTATGTACTGCAGGTTTAGGAGCACTTCGGTGCTCGGAAGTCACCTCCCCTCAAACCCAAGCAGCAATCTATGCCATTGGCATTAGAGGTAAGAACCTGTCTTGCCTCTATCTTGTATTGGCCACACAAACACCATGCGAAGAGGCTTACTATGGGCAGAAATGGGCTGCAACTCTAAAATATTAATTTTATCTGGACCAGGCCAGACTTGAGATGGATACATTCTTCAGCAATGAATCCACCAGACTTCAGGTGGACATGCTCTTCAGCAGTGAAGCTGCTTGTGCAACACAAGCTATGAGGACCCTGCATCCTTTGTCCTAGTCTCAGTACCATTGTCTTTCTTTATTATTTTCGAGCTGGGAATTCCACAAAGTAAGAAATAAATTAAAAAAATCCAAAATACACTCTGCCTGATAAGATACCAGAGATTTGACAAATGCACGGTTGCATGTACAGTGAGACCTGGTTAAGAAGAACACTGATAAGACAAACTTTCGCTTTAGAAGAACTAGCGTTCATAGCTCTATTGGATAAATCACTGTGTATTCACTGGGTATAAAATATGGATAAGAAGAACTCCCGTTATAAAAGAACAAATACCATCGGTCCCTTGGTGTTCGTCCTAAAGAGGTTTGACGGTATTTCAATCTAAAGTCTAACTCTAATACACCGTTTACTGAGATACAGCTGTATCTGTATCAAGATCCGTGAATAACAACTCACATTCTTCTCAGTTCTGGATTGTATCCGAGTAGAGCACTTGGCACACTTGAAAAGGCGTTGCCTGCCAATTTCCTGCATGCGCAAACGCAAGGGACAACGAAGGTTACAAACATTAATGGTAATTTCGGCCTTTTCATCAGTGATGTAATCCAACACTACCATATAATTCTCTCTGCAGATTTTTATGTGTAAGTATCTACAAGTTGGAGTCATGTTATGTTCTGCTATCTTTATTTTAAATGTAGAAAAGAAAAGGACATAATGGATACGAGTTAAGAGTAATTCTCCATCACTGTAACTGGATACTATATACAGTCAGAATGTGCCTTTATTTTACTTCACCATAGGTACGAGCATTGCACTACAACGGACAACAGGCAGAAAAGGGCAAACAAAATGCCAAGCAGAGTATAAATAAACCTCTGCCTCGTTGGAATTACTACAATGTCATACTGAATGTATCAACACATGTGATTGCTCCCCCATCATGCTCCAAGGTCAAAATGCTGCTTAGCCCGATGATCCTTGGATGGGACTAGCTATGTGCCTTGGCTGGCAGAGATACGTTTCAGAGTTTAAAATCCTTCCTTTTATGTATGACTATTAATTGTTATCCTATATGCACAATGGTTATGAAGCCAGGGGGAAAAAATACACGCCAACATACACTGTAGCAAGCTTGTTCTTTCCGTCGAAGAGTCCTTGAGGTAGGCTTGATAATCGATTGCTATCCAGGTCCCTGTGGGACAGAAAAGGAAAGCAATTCTTGCAAATTAACACAAGGTCTTCTGGGTCTTACAGGTTCTTGATTGAATGATCTAAGTTGTTAACACAAGACCACAATTTCAGTCCATATTTGCTTCATTCTTCTTTTCCTTTTCTTTTTGACTTCTTACTCTTTTCCTTGTTAGCCGTGGTTGGCTATAAAAACCCTGCACCTGCCACGTAACGTGGTCATTGGCTACCCCAGCCATGTATTGCTTGGAAAAAAATAAAATAAAATCGCTACTGTATTTTCCGGAGTATATTTCCAGAGTATATATAAGTATACTTTGAAAATTCACCCGAAAAAGGGAAGGGATGCGTCCTATACTCCGATGTTCAACTCAACTGTGAGAAGTAAGGTAGATGTATGTGTTTCTTGGCAATATATTGGGGCGGGGGATGCGACTTATACTCCAGTGAGACTCATACTTCGGAACATACTGTACTAGCTAATTGGTTTTAGCTACGAAGAAAATGTATGAAAATTTGTAGATTGGCGATAGAAATTATTGCCATGAATATATTAACCTGTGTGAATACATGATTTGTAACACTTCGCCAGCTTCATACAAAGCAGTGGGCATCCATAATACCATCGTGGTGGTAAAACATGCGACGATCACATAGGGCATTCCCGTTGTAATTGCTTCCAAATCAACTAGTCATCAGCATTGGCCGGGGACAACAGTGCAGAATTGCTGCTATTGCTGTTGAGGGCCCAACACATCCCAAAAGAATACTATTAGGTACAGTTTAAGTCAATTGTAATGATTTGAAAATGGAAAGCCATCATTGTCTCCGATAAAAACAAAAAACGAGGAACAACCAAGAGCAAAACTGAAAAGGAACAACCAGCTTCAAACCTAAAGAGTGCTTTCACATCTATCACATGACCATACAGGACAGCCATGTTAGTTCCAACTCCACTCAATCCCTGCATCAGGGAGTCGTAAAAGCCCGGGAGAGGACACGGCACACATTCCCAGAAAACATCTTTGCCTCGCGCTCCCGGGGAACGCTGCCAGGGAACGGTGTTGCGAGGCAAGGACATTATTATTTTCGAAAATTGTGATGTCTTCTTGAAATACTAATTGGGACATTCTCCAATTTCTCTTAGAGCACGGAGACGATTGCTCCGTCGAGTCTTCTGATCTCTATTTTCATCCTCAATTCTTCCAGCTGCTTCACTCATTCTCTCTCTGTTTATCGAAGTTAATTTATTCTGAGGCGATGGAAATGCAAGATAAATCCCTAATTGTACTTCAATTTTATTTGAGTTGGGGTGAACGAAATGAGATTTGTGGAAAATGACGCCACTTCCCGTGTTAGCCGCTGGTCGTATCATACAGCCCATATTCCATTGCAGGTGATGGGCGAACGTTCGTGTTGAGATCCGCTGAGCTTCCTCGTACTCATGGAGTTGAATTTGTGGCAGAAATTGCACTGAATTGCAGTCAAGTGGTTGTGAATGAAACCAGATTTGTGGAAAATGACGCCACTTCCCGTATTAGCCGCTGGTCGTATCATACAGCCCATATTCCATTGGAGTTGATGGGCGAAAGTTCTTGTGGAGATCTGCTGAGCTTCCTCGTACTCGTGGAGTTGAATTTGTGGCAGAAATTGCACTGAAATTGCAGTCAAATGGTTGTGTATGAAACGAGATTTGTGGAAAATGCAGCCACTTCCCGTGTTAGCCGCTGGTCGTATCATACAGCCCATATTCCATTGGAGTTGATGGGCGAAAGTTCTTGTGGAGATCCGCTGAGCTTCCTCGTACTCGTGGAGTTATGAATTTGTGTCAGAAATTGCACTGAAATTGCAGTCGAGTGGACTTCTGTGCGTGTGTTGTGAGTGAATCGCAACGGCTCCCTTCCTTCAGCATCGTCAAAACTCAACATAGAGCATTATTACGCACTCGTTCCATGATTCATGATATTGCCCGGATTCTTTTAAAAACAATCAATGTGTGTTCCCCATCTATCTACATTGTACATGGTTGCAGGTCGTTATTTATAAATCTTGGATAATTTCAACACTTTTCTACTCGTATACTGAGTACGCGGTGACTTTAGCCGTTTAGGAAACGGAAGGCTCAGCCTCCAGGTTGGCCAGAAAGGTTCTCAGTGAATCTAACCGAAGTCTTGGCGAGTGTACAAAAGGTAAACCTATCATTTGTACTTCATAAGGGAATTGTGCACAAAAATGCTCACACACGCACGCATGCGAGCGCACACACAAACACTGTACAAACACACACAAAAGTACAAGCACATGTGCACAATACACACGCCCCCCCCCCCCCACACACCCCCAACTCCCCACCCCCTGTACCATGTGTACTGAGTCTGACAGACAGACACACAATCATGTTTATGCTTCCTTCGCCAAAAGTTTCGGATAATTATGGTGTCAACAACGAGTTGTAAAAATATTGGTATTTTAGGACTCCCTGCCCTGAAGACGAGCACAGCGCCGTGGATCGAGCAGATCCGGCCGCACCGGCCTAGCGTGCTTTACTTTCTGGCCGAGGCAAACATCGTCCGCGTGCGCGCATCCCGTGTCCTCTCCCGGGCTTTTACGATTCCCTGCCCTGCATATATGGATCACATGATGTCGGCCATGTTGGTTCCAATGTCCGCATGATATGATCCCCTTCTGCAGCAATCTGCATAAATTTAGTAACATGACAAACATGTGCCACCACTCTGCACCCACACCCCAATGAGATTTCACACGTTAATCTTTGGATAGGACTTGCCGCGATACTTAGCCTCCAGAAATTCTTAATTAGACTCAATATTTCCGTATAAGGTGGTCTTAACCAATCCGCTCTATCTCCATGAAGACATAAAAATCACACTACATCTTCAACATACAGAGTCATAAGCTTGGTCTTTCCATCGAAGAGTCCTTGAGGTAGGCTTGATAACCGATTGTCGCCCAGATTCCTGTTGAACGGAAATGAAAGACAAGACTTTAAAATCAACAATAGTACTGCTGGGTCTTGCGATTGAGAGATTGGATGAACTGAGTATCTCAGAACTCAGAAATGCAGGGCTAAAATGTAACATTAGCCCTGTGTCTATTGGGTGTGTCGCACCTCGCGAATTCCAGGCTGCAGTGGCACAACACAAGAATCCCACCTTGGACCAGCCTCACCGTTTCCTGCTGGTTATAATCACAAATGCAGTTTCTAGCAAAACTCAAAAATATTCTTAGGTGCAGATATTAGGTACGGTAATCAGCATCCACTGTGTGGTCCGATGACTGGCCATGTTGCCACAAAACTCGGAGCAACAACAAAACAATGTTTTGACCATTGAGAATATCTGCCAAAGTCTCCATCCTCTTCAGGGGTTAATAAGCAGGGGGTTTGATTTTACTTGGTCCGACTTATCAAAATGTGCGCTTCGCTTCCGAAGCCTACCAAACAAATTCTCTCAGGACGGAATAAACTTCCCAGCTACCTAATGTGTGCCTCAGTTGTCGATTCGTGATATTGAGGAAGGAATGGCTCAAACTCAAAAGGAGGCAGAAAACGCACCATCCAGAAACTCATGCAGCAATGTTCACGATGTGGCGGCTGACGAATCAAGATCGCAGAAGAGATGGCCGAGAAGCTGATCAATATAAACAACCACCCCTGGAGTCGCCTCTCATGCGAGAAACTGGCTGGAAAACTGAAACGAACAAATAGCGGATACGGTGTGTGGATGGTGCGGAGTTCTCAGAGCCGCGAGGCGTCATCATTACATCAAGCCTATGCGATCAAAATCTCCGTCGGTGATGAGAAGTGATATTTTGGTGCGTGGTGGTCTACCTGTTCACCTCATTTGAAGGTATCGTAGGAATATCGGGCGAAAAAGCCTACAGTTACCATTCTTGCCGTTGCACTGCACAAGCAAGAGGCAAAGGCGATCGTCAGAATAGGGCTTCTTGATTGCAAACGTCAAGGAAGCGCAATGTAGCTTGAAGGAGACAAAAAAAAACCATTTTGGCAGTTGCACTGCACGAGCAAGAGGCAAAGGCAATCGTCAAAATAGGGCTTATTTATTGAAAAAGTCAAGGAAGCGCAGTGTAGCTTGAAGGAGACAAAAAAAGAAACAGTTTGGCAGTTGCACTGCACGAGCAAGAGGCAAAGGCGATCGTCAAAATAGGGCTTATTGATTGAAAAAGTCAAGGAAGCGCAGTGTAGCTTGAAGGAGACAAAAAAAAAATGCCGATGTTTTGCAGGGTGACGCACTTGCAGATGCGCCCAGAGACACCAGCAGCTATGAAAACTAGAAGGTCAGCCCAAGAGATGATACAGTTATCTATCTAATGTCTCTTGGTTGATTTTTTAGTTATGGTGCTCATATGTACGAATGCTTGAGTTTTGAAGTGAATCACACATTTTAATAAGTCGGACCAAGTACTTCCTTCCATCGTGTTTATTTTGCCCATGCAAGAGGCTTCTTGGGAGCACGAACACAATTTAGCGGAAACTATGCGTTGTGAGTATACTATTTTTCTCTTATATAAATGGCACACCAATTACACACATGCAGCTGTTGCGACCTTGCCATAGCTCATCAAATGCCCCTAGAGGATATACTATACTTGAACAAATTCAATGTGCTACTGTATTAGCAGGCACAACTTCCATCAAACTTTGTTATTGCAATCTACTCGAAGTAGTAACAGATCAACAATGGACACTTACAGAGATATGAGGTCCGGGTTATGATCAAAGAATCCTTCTGGTATTGAAGTCAAGTTGTTGCGATCAATTTTGCTGATTGGAAAATCCATGCACACACCACGTTTGTACCCGCATGAATCACATGCGTGGGGCAGAGGTCAGAAACGGGGGGGGGGGGGGGGGGGGGAAGAGATTCTCAAATCAGAGCAATGAATGGACACAATGTACTGGAGTGAAGGCTATGAGGACATGTATGCATCAAACTGTGCATTATGCCTGGTGAAAGACCGTCATGGTGTGGAAAGGTGACGCTAAATTTTTGCAAGTTCAACAATAATGTACAAACTAGAGTTTCGTATCCGTTGACAACCAGAACTCAAATTTCGACAGCTGCGGTAACAGGCCAGTATCAAAGAGTACCGTCAGGCGAAATAGCACGTCATGGTACATTTGAGACCAGCAGGAAGGAGATGACGTCCACTAATTTAGTATCGGTGCACACGAATGTGCTGTGTGTGTGTGACTTTGTGTGCCAGCTATGACATCAAACCCGGTGGTTCCGTGCCTAGCATGTAGGTCAGAACCATCCTGCAAAGTTTGAATGATGTAGGTTGACCAATCGCTCGACCTGCCATACATTTTGAAATTGTTTCCGACTTCTGACCGCTGGTGAAGCCAGGAATCATTTGTCCAGTCAAGTCGGCAGCCTAACTGTCGGTAAGTTTGTGTTTGGATCCCGTTCTGCTCGATGTGGTAGATCACTGACAATTTTGATATCGCAGAAAATTGAACTCGGAGTCGTGCGTACGCTTCTTTATATTCAGAAAATCGCAAAAGTGTCTCTGTGTGGCCGTCCTATGCCAGGAGAAACTCCAATCAGGCTCTTATGTCCTCTGCCTTCTTGGTAGAATGTAAACTTTGTTTGAACAACGAACACAACAATCAAGAACGGCTTTGCCATGAAAAATATAGCTATGCTGGAGCTGAAAAAAAGAAGATGAAAAAACGTGCCCAGGATGAGACTCGAGTACACGCGTACTCTCCTAGGAAGTTCTTTTGATGTCGCTCATAGATGCTTAATTTCGCGTGACGGACATTGCTCGTTTCTAGCTGAGAAGGTGCAGGCCTGATTGCGTTCAGTGACTGGTTTTGACGGTCTGGTTGCGGGACTATGACCTGTTGGCTCAAGTGTGATGGATAGAGTCCAGAGCTTCTAGGACAGGTTTTGCAATATACACACAAGACACTGAGCTTATAGAACAGAAAATGACAAAGGAGCTACGAGTTACGAGTCCTTTCTTAACACACTTTGTCACATATGATACACAAACAATACGGGATGTCACTTTCAATACACTTGCTATACACTTACAGGTATTTGAGATTAACATTATGAGCTAGTAATCCACTTGGCAGTGTGTCCAACTTGTTACTGGACATCGTCCTGAATAAAAAGAAAGAAAGAAAGAGAAACAAGGATTACGACGCATGCCGTACTCCGTCAATTTGAAGCTGGGATTCTATTTGCAAATGTCCATTTTAGGAGTTTTCTATCCAAGAGGGGCTTCTAATCGAGAGGAGCTTAATTCATTATAATCCATACCATTATTCCAATCAAATCTCTGAAATGTTCACATAACACTCAAAAGCAACTCAGCCTCACATTACGTCCATATGGACCTGTGTTATGCATACATGCGCAGTGTAGTTTTGTACTTCCTCCGCGTCATCGAAATTGTCGCAGTTTGACTTTTGATATAAAACGGGGTATTTACTCACCAGCACTCGTACCAGAGGCAAGGAATCGGACATAGGCGATGGTCATCAGTATAGGGTGACGGCAAAGTTCTATTTTCTGTTATTGGAAGCTGGAATTTTTGAACTAGACGCAATTTCTTCGCTGATGTCGCTGCGATGGTAATTTCGACTCGCTGAGATCAGTCAGGCGTTGTAGCCTGCACATTTCTCGTGCTTATGGCCATTCACTCAAGCCTCGTCACTGTTTTGCCTTAGCTGGGGTGAGAATGACTTCGTGGAACAAGTGGCAGAGCTTGGAGAAACATCGAAGGATCAGCAAACTAAATGCCTGCAACAGCGATAAAATTTGTCGCTCTGGCTGAGACACTCAATACAATCATGTACTCGTACATTATTGTACCTGCAAGAGCCGTGTAGACTCTACACGTAGTGCTAGTGATGCACGCGCAGGTGCCGTACCATGGTATACCAGTGAATCACGGCCGGGCAGTGATGCTGAAAAAGAGGGCGCGCTGGACGTGATAGTACACTTACCTGCATGAGCTGTGACCGCACAGCTAAAATAAATGGGCATGACACGGCTAAAAAAAGTTCATTTCAAGATCGAGGTGATTCCGCCGACGGTAATCAACCGACCTCGCAACGATCGTGTATTCTTACTAGGCTTCGTTGGTGGTGAAGTAGAAATCATCCAGAGCTAGCAGATGACAAGCATAGCAGCTCTTGTCCTGCGGAGAAAGTCAAAACGTTTGAGATGAGGCGCGACCAACTTTCAACCCTCCTTGAAATATTTCGGAACGATATTTTTGCGTCCATTGACATCAGCGACGACGAGGACTTCATCTCTGCATGAAAACTCTCAGTCCAACTGTCCTGGAACGTTACTCTAGTCTTCAGACTATCATACTGTGCAATAAGTTTTGAATGGCTTAGCTTATGAAGTGGTCAGTAACAAGTGACAAGTCACTAGTCAAACTGCGACAATTTCGATGATGCGGAGGAAGTATATACATGCATGAGATATTGGAAAAAACTCAAAGTAGTGTCTTGTCAGCGGCGAGTTTGGATCTTATTTCGCGCCGCGTGCCACATGCTTGCATGGCACTCCCACGTATTCGGGAACACCTCAGTGTGTCACAGAGTCGATATGGATACTCTAGCTGGCCCAGGGAGTGACTAAGATCAAGGCCCATGCCCACAGGTTTTGCACGGTTCAGCGTCGCGTATACGCGACGTTGGCCATTCATTCAGGGTTCATCTGCAGCGTCGCGCATTCGCGATGCTGGCGTGCAAAGGGGTTAAAGCCAATATCAATTATAATGTTTTTGACAATCTGGGCCAAGAAATGTAGTGCATGTTTATTGGTGGTGTTTAGGTATCCATTGGTTTCAATGGTTATGTAGTCAGGCCTTGGGCGTAGTGCAATTGCGGGATTTCCTATTACACAATGAACTCAAAATGGGTATGTCAATCAGGGAAAATTACATTCTAAATTTTGAACATACAGCCTCGTGAGATTGATGTTGTTTGCAAACACGTCCTCCGGTAGCGTGCGTATGCTGTTGATGGAGATGAATCTGTGAAGTGAGCACAAACGGTATGGAGGTGTTGACCACATCAACTGCATTTTTTACTTTGAAGCAGACTCCATCACAATAGAATTAGGCAGCAACGCTTGAGATGATGCTCCTGATAGCGTGTAAGGGAGGCTTCCGAAGAACAAGCATCACAGAACAGGAAACGTCTGACCATCAATAAAAATGGGAAACATTTCGAAAGCTAGGGTATTGTTGATTTTCTTGAACATTGGAGTGCGTGGTAGTGGACGATTGCCAAATATGGGTAGTCTAAATATCAACAAAAGGTAGTGGGCGAATGCAGGCAGCGCAGGGATGAAACCAGCCAATTTTGATCGTAATTGGACATTGGGAAATGCCGATGATGTTTGATTGTTACAGACACTGACTTTAAGTCTGAGGGGCTGGAATCATTTTATAGAACACGGAGGCTCCACTGCAGCAGCCAATTCATATCACAATCAGTCACCAACACCACACCAAGGTCGTTGATACTGCAAATTCTATTCAAAAGATATGAAATCTGGACTGGACCAGACTGGAATCAATCTCATTTGTTTACTTCCCAGCACTTTAAGCTTTTAGAGCTGTTTCTCCCCTCCCCCCCCCCCCCCTGCTACTATTCTTGCTACTTTGAAGTACTCACATATTCTCCGTATGATCACCAAATGCGCCGGGAGCCAATCCGGTAAGGTTTTGAGTGTGTGCCACCCTAAGAACGAAGCATGACATGCAAACACACACGCATATCTGCCAACCTTTGCAAGCCTGAGATCGACACAAGGACATACCTAGGAACGAAAAATGTATACAGTGGTCCCCCTATAATCCGGCACCATTTGTGCCATGGAAAATCTGCTGGAATAGGGAGGGTGCTGGATTAACAAATCTGATTTACTGCTGCAATGTGCATGAAGAGGACATTTTGGCTCCTGAAAATTGTGCTGATTTATCGAGGGTGCTGGTTTATAAAGTGCTGGATTAAAGAGGGACAACTGTACAAGTCTAGCTGAGGCATGCGACAAATGCACTTTTGGGTGCCTAGTACCACCCTGCCAAGTTGGGACAGTCAGGGCCAAATCGGGATGGTCGGCAGGTATTCACACGGGTCATTGACAAAGCATGAAGGTGGATTGTTCGGGTAACTCAGGCTTTTCTTGAACATCCAGTTCAGATCCAGTGTGGTTCTCCGTGCCGATCAATCCCCTCTAGCTTAAATACAGCATTCATTCATAAAGGCAACAATCGGTGAATCGCCCATAGTAGGTCGATGCTAAAGGCCGATCATCCAAAACAGTCCCACTGGCTTTTGATAGCCCATTATTGGTTGAACGGAGGCTTAAAACCACTTCAAGGTCCAAAGTCTGGGTATGGGTTCTTATTCTCCATGTATATGGCCATACCATACCTGTCCTAATTTGTGTAGCCTCGAAAAATTCCTATTTCTCTGGCAAGATCATTTTGCATGGTCTACACAATGCAGCATAAGCTGCTGTTTTCACGATAGCTACAATTATTTGTTTTGGTGCGAGACACCAAAAGGTTAGGATGCCAATTTGGGATGAACGGACTGTAGAATGGAAAACATGTTGATGTGGGCTGGTAAAGTGTCAATGACGTCACTATCAGCCAGGCAATTAAACAGCATTCTGAAAGATTTAAAAAAAAATTCAAACGTACCACTGAGTAGCATTGTTGGGGCATCGTAACAGAACTCTGCGTCCATGGCTCACATACTGGCTATCGTCGAAGTCGCATTCGTCACTTCTGCCCTGGTTCCTGAACATCCTGGCTTCACCACTGGTCAGGAAGCAGTGTGCGATCAACGCCACGAGAAGGGCATCTTGGCATATCTGCGCAGTCGGATAGCAGGTGCACAGTTGTTTTAAGCACAAGTTGGATGATGGAAATACATTGCATCCTATCACGCTTTGGTATTGTTGTTGTTGTTGTTGTTGTTGTTGTTGTTGTTGTTGTTGTTGTTGTTGTTGTTGTTGTTGTTGTTGTTGTTGTTGTTTTTGTTGTTGTATATTTTATTTATAGTGGAAGTCAAAACAGGCAAAATGCCTAGTAACATTGGACCCACTGTAAATAAAATGTTAAAGGGTATTACCTAGATCATGACTGTCTTGTGTTATATTTCCACTTACTTGTACATGTCACGGTGACTGTGTCTCACCTTGCACACTCCACTCTCACTATCACACCTGCACATTTGCACCAGCATACTAGGCCGACTACAATGATAAAGGCTTCTGTTTGAGTTCCCCATCATTCTTCTCCTATGCTAATAATGCCTACTTACTGTTGACACAGTGCAACTCCATTCCGTTAGTACTGCAGTTTGATACCAACTGGCGATCGATTATCAGACACAAATGGCTAGTGATCGCCCTTTGTTCTGAAGCTAGGAGTAAGAACAATGAGCTGGTTTCACATTCTCGACAGTGCTTACTCCAACTCCTACCCATCGAGCAAGGATAAGGCAAGGTGATCATTGAGTACGGCACAAACTGGGCCTGTATGTGTGTAAGACTTAGACGGCGAGCAATCATGAACTTACGTGGCGCGTTGGCGACATCCTCCAAGCAGTAGTCCAAAATTATCCCTTGGGGTCGAAGCGTTCAAAGCTAGGCTAGGTGAAGAATGTCGGGCAGCAGGTTTTTCACTCGAGGACAGTGTTGACGGAAAAAGTAAGTTATTACGCTGAACCTTTAAATGTTTCTTGTTCTCGTCTCAGACTAATAGAACGAACGTGGAATTGAATGAAGGACAAAGAATTTCGAAGGTATGGACGCCGTAGTGAGATGGTAGGTGTTCACCACTCAAGGCATTGAAATAAGTTTAGTTTTCTTTCCGAGACAGAACTCTTTGAAGCTTAGAAATCCGATACTGTCACTACCAGCTTCTCTACTCCATAATTATGCTGACATAGTTCCAACCTTGGACCATTGTACCGCGGGAGCCCGTAATAGAACGCGGGTCATCCTCCATTCTCCTGGGAAATGTCAAAACCGGACGCTAGCATGATACGGTACCGCAGACATGCTCTACATGGGGGTGGCAAGGTCCTTTTAAAGTTCCAAGGAGCAGCTTCTGTACATGTATATCTAGCTAATATAGCTGTTTAGAAATTGATATGGATTCATCTCAGAAATAAAAATAATATGGTCAGACGAAAGGGTTGCCAGTGATGCGTTTTTTGTCCAGCACAACACTAACAATTACCGGTATAAGCATGATGCTGGCGAGCCAGAAGGTGCAACGACTAGCACAACACTGACTGATGAGATAATGACATTCAACGACCAGTCAGTGTTGTCCTAATCGTTGCTCGTTCTCACTCACCAGCATCATGCTCATAATTATTGTAGTTTGAAACTCGAACGTTGAGGCAATAATAAATGTAGAAAGGAAAAGGCCATAGGGAACCGTCCGAGTTGGAAGGCTGTCGGTTGGCGCTACGGAGATGTGTTGAAACTACCTAGGTAGGTGTCAGGACGTCGAATGTCGCAGTACGAGGTGGTTTGGCTTTTTTTAACATGGTTGTAAAATGACGTTTTTTCAGTCACTTCTAGACAAGCTACGTCCAAATGAATTGTTGCAAGTGGAAGTGCTATCCTTCATGCCCGTTGTGTCCAAAAATGGGAATGATCCCACTTTGGAAAGTGTCTTGAATCATGTCCTACTTTCATAGTATTCTCAGGATTAAAATAATTGGTGTGTCATTTTTTAACAAATTTGTAAAATGGCATCACAAACTGGGATATTCGGTCATCAATGTTCTGAAGTTGATAGATATCACTTCAAGGATTGCTAGTGGATGAAAATTAATCTATCAACAGAAGAGGGAACTGCATTGTATGCTGCGAAAGCCGTGTTTTTGTATTTGTAACTAGTGGCTGTGTTATACGGTGGAATTGGATAGATAGCATAGCATCGCAGCGATGTTTTCGTTCTCACAGAGTGTATTCCGTGACCTACTGTTCTTCATTACTGTCTCTAGTGATGGCAAGACGGCCTGACGTCGTCCAAAGGCCCTGCGGAAGCAATTCACTGCCCTCCTCGTCCATTCAGGGGCTCATTTTACACATTTTACACAAAATGGCAAAGCACCCACCACTAGTTATACCAACGTGGCAGGGAGAATTAAATTATATGCACCAAATTTTCTGGTCAATGTTGATCTACGATAAACTGGCTCTCATTTCCCACCACCCATGTTTCGATACAGCCATCCGGAGCAGAGAAACAGCCAGAAGAAAAGCAAATTTTACACATTTGTTAAAAAATGCCAAATGTTAAAAAATGCCAAATCACCTCGTACTCTGTCAGTTTTGTGTCTAGTTGTTGCACTTTCTGACTGTATAATATAGTATCTGGTTACAGGGATGTAGAGTTACCCGTCCTTTTCCTTTCTACAATTATTATTGTAGTCTTGAACAAAAAACGCATAACTTGTAAAACACTGGTCTTCTCTTTTTTAATTTTCATCCTTGGCTCTCCATCCGAGTCAAATATGGTCGGATGTGTATGAAATCTACGAGGTTCTTCAGTTCTTTACAATTGAGCTCGACGTACACAAGCTGTTTAATCCGGCATATGTGCCGATACGATACCTGTGGTTGTTCACTGCATAAAGAGGAGGTCGACTGTCGTAGACAAATTTAAACCCACTACAAACATTGCCCGTAACGAAAAGGTTGTCGGTGGCACTTGGGGAAGTTTGTGTCGCTCCCTATGTGAGAATTCTCTATAAATAATAATGTACCCAACAACACTAAAACAACAGCCTGATTGACTCACGACTGCCATCCAGAACAACTAAACAACGTACTGTAGTAGTAGAATTTATTATTTTGATAGGGAAGGCAACGTCTGTAGGGCCTTCCCTATCAAAATAATAAATTCTACTACTACTACTACTACTACTACTACTACTACTACTACTACTACTACTACTACTACTACTACTACTACTACTACTACTACTACTACTACTACTACTACTACTACTACTACTACTACTACTACTACTACTACTACTACTACTACTACTACTACTACTACTACTACTACTACTACTACTACTACTACTACTACTACTACTACTACTACTACTACTACTACTACTACTACTACTACTACTACTACTACTACTACTACTACTACTACTACTACTACTACTACTACTACTACTACTACTACTACTACTACTACTACTACTACTACTACTACTACTACTACTACTACTACTACTACTACTACTACTACTACTACTACTACTACTACTACTACTACTACTACTACTACTACTACTACTACTACTACTACTACTACTACTACTACTACTACTACTACTACTACTACTACTACTACTACTACTACTACTACTACTACTACTACTACTACTACTACTACTACTACTACTACTACTACTACTACTACTACTACTACTACTACTACTACTACTACTACTACTACTACTACTACTACTACTGCAAACACCCGTAGTCTTAGTTACACAGGAATGATTTAAAAACACGATAGGAAAGTTTGCACATCACCAACATAGCCGCTCCATTTTTCTCTCTGTGCTGCGCTGATGAGTCTACAAAGAACGAAACAGTTCTGTCCGCAGATTGAGTAGCCTAAAGCGTAAAGAATAATAACAAGAGTCCATAAGGCCATGGTAAAAAATATCTTTGATTCTCAAGTACGCGCGCATCGATTTTTGGTGGCGCACCGACGATTTTTTTTATTTCTATGCATGCATATGCGTGCATGAAAACGGTCAATGCGAAAGGCATGAATCCGGGAGTAGCAAAATACCGGTATTTTTCTACTCCCTGGCCTGAATAATAAAATAATTTTAAATTAATTATGAACCTGTGACGTACACATGTGTGACCCTATCTTTGGAAATAAAAAAATTGTGGGAATTAAAATAAAATATCGCTCGCTCGCACCGATTTTCACAGGCTCATGACCTGAGTGTCAACTTTATTTTTTACCATGGCCTAAACTGGACTCTTGATAATAATCATCCAGTATCGATATGGCCATGTCCATCATGTACGTAATACGTCCCTGGAGTACTTCGCCACGCAGAGTCCCAACAGTATGCTGACGATATCGCCTTTTATATACACTGTCAGTCTACTGGAGAACTTCAGCACAAGTTGACAAGTGAGTTGAACAGACTAAATACGTACCTTGGAAGCATTGGTCTCATCTTGAATGCCCAGAAAACGAAGTTCATGGTGCTTCGGAAGAAGGCTCTGCCTCTTCCGCCGGATCTTACCATTGCATGCGGTGGTGTCGATATTCGACCTTCTGCCACAGCGCGTTATCTTGGCCTCATTATTGACCAACACCTCACCTTTGAGGATCAAGTCAACCATGTATGTACATCTGTTTATAAGAAGATAGGAGCATTCCGCCGCTGCCGCCGTACAGTAGACCACACAACTAAGCGAATATTTTATTTATCCCTCATCCAATCCACTATTGAATACGCCAGCAACTCGTATGCCCACTGTCTTACACCATCTTTATACTCTCGCCTTGTTACTTTAAGAGAGCATGTCTGAGAATACCAAAGTATGTGTGCAAGTGGATCTCTCCGATTTCGCTCAAAATTTGCAGGTAGGTTCCCTTTGGGGTGTGGATCGATTATGCAAAGCCCTTGAAAAAGTTTCTGAAGGGAACCTTGAAATTTGCATACCCCTCAAAAATGGCCGAAATATCACATTATTTATGGGTCTAGAAACGAATCACGCCACAGCGTATACGAACAAGCTATGAACAAAACTCCATCAAGCCAACATTGCCTCACCTTAGAAGAGTTCCTGGAGCAGTACCGCTTAGCCACGCCAGCATCCCAGAAGATGAGGTCCATCACCCCTTGACGCCACAAATGATCGTCTTGAAAATAGCCAATTTACAAGCGCTGGCAAAACAGCCAGCTACGTCCTCAATTGGCCAGAACTATACACCGGCAGATAGTAGAACACCTCTTCTAGCGCTGAGGACATGTCCCCCATCTTCCTTTTGGGGTTTTCTTGAAATAAACTTTTTTGAATTTTTCCACTCGACCATGCTGAAATACGGCCAAAGACTTAAGTCATACCTGCGCAGGAAAGCTCGCTACTCCGCGACGTCTCCTCAGCAATTTCTACTCCAACACTACTCCCAAGGCCGCAGAACAAAGTGTAGTGTTGACTCTGACAAGGAAAAGCAGCGGTGATCACTTGTCACTCCAGACGACAAGCTTCTCCTTGCGCCACCAATAATTTTTTGTGCGACTGTTGATGCAAAAGTGACTGAAGGCCTGAGCGCAGTTTTTGAATTTTATTGCAAGATGCACGGTGAGATCGCGTGCTCTGTGACGTAGGATGACGCTTCCTGCATCACGTTACGCGGCCATCGATCGCGAATGTGCCTGGAACGCTACTCGGAACAGACCATGATGGCAGAGGTAAGATGAGCTTCATTTCCTGCTTGAACTGCTGAGAACCCCCACAAACTGTCCTAGGAGTGTTGCAATGGCAGCAAGCCGTTGGAATATGCCCCGTACAGCATGGAGAGTTATTCGTCTTTCACACTTACCTCCTGCAATCCCGAACATAGTCCAACAGTAAAAGTCCCTTGTTTTCATGTCGATGCTCGACAAAAGCGACTAGCTCGGTCCCTTTGTGTTGACTGGCACGCGAGCAGCACTGGCTGCACGCACTTGTCGCGTGAACTGCATGAGAGATTTCTTAGGCCGATTCCACACTACACCAAATCCTGTCTAAAAAGCCATTTTTCAGGCACTTTTCAGGCAAGTTGCCATGGCGATCACTTTGGGAAACGCGCGAAAGTGAAAAGTGCTTGTTGTCTACAAAGCAACACCAGCACCCTCTTTCAAGGCAACTTTTTGCCTTTTCAGGACACTTTCTGACTTCTTCAGCCTTTCGATTTTTTTCCGAATGTGTTCCCTGTCGTATCTTTCAGTTGTGGTGAGTTGTGAGCTGTCAACAATGCCTAGGGTCATTTTTAGCCAGGAGCTTGAGAGCAAGCTGATCGAGCTTTGGAGCGGACATTTGAGGCGACCTCCGGGCGGTACAGTTCGCAGGAGCTACGCCTGAGGAGATCGCCATCAAACTGAATTTGTTTGCTGAACAGCTCCGGGAGGAGGCAATCTATACTGCGTGGATCGTCCATTCCAAAATCGACAACATGAAAACGAAGGCGAAAGGACTGTACGAGACATACACAACGAAAACTGCCACCGGAATGCCTGTTGGCGAGGTTGACAAATATTCGACTTATCATCTTGAATCCGCCTACACAGCGCGCGCTAGCGTGGTCAAATTTCAAGATTGGGCACGCGAAAATGGGTGATATTCAAGGATTTGGACCAACAAAGAGCCTCTCCACTACCGCCGTTGCTACATCAAGCACAGGAAAGCCTCACAGTCTAACCTTCAAAGCAAAGTCCCGTGATCGACACTTGTAGGTGTGAATGCAGCTTCACTTTATAAGCCACTTTATGCCTTCAAGGCAAAGCCACTTTCGGCGTAGTGTGGAATCGGCCTCACGTTATAAAGAATGTGATTTCATCATCATTTCACTGGTCTTCGACCTACATGGTCAGGGAAAGTCCCGGTTCGTAGGCCTACAACACGGTTAGCGTGTTCTTGAGCGCCGTAACAACACAAGTGTGATCACTTCCAGACCAACGGGCGTTCAAGGCGAGTAACAAGCGCACTTGACAAAGGTGACTCTGAAATCGCGTGAGCCGTGGGCCACGCGACTTGGCATTCTTGCGTCACAAGGCACGTGATTTCACCGTGCATCTTGCAATAAAATTCAAAAACTGCGCTCAGGCCTTCAGCCACTTTTGCAGCAACAGTCGCACAAAAAATTATTGGTGGCGCAAGGAGAAGCTTGTCGTTTGGAGTGACAAGTGATCACCGCTGCTTTTCCTTGTCAGAGTCAACACTACACGTTGTTCTGCGGCCTTGGGAGTAGTGTTGGAGTAGAAATTGCTGAGGAGACGTCGCGGAGTGGCGAGCTTTCCTGCGCAGGTATGACTTTGGCCGTATTTCAGCATGGTCGAGTGGAAAAATTCAAAAAAGTTTATTTCAAGAAAACGCCAAAAGGAAGATGGGGGACATGTCCTCAGCGCTAGAAGAGGTGTTCTACTATCTGCCGGTGTATAGTTCTGGCCAATTGAGGACGTAGCTGGCTGTTTTGCTAGCGCTTGTAAATTGGCTATTTTCAAGACGATCATTTGTGGCGTCAGGGGGTGATGGAACTCGTCTTCTGGGATGCTGGCGTGGCTAAGCGGTACTGCTCCAGGAACTCTTCTAAGGTGAGGCAATGTTGGCTTGATGGAGTTTTGTTCATAGCTTGTTCGTATACGCTGTGGCGTGACTCGTTTCTAGACCCATAAATAATGTGATATTTCGGCCATTTTTGAGGGGTATGCAAATTTCAAGGTTCCCTTCAGAAACTTTTTCAAGGGCTTTGCATAATCGATCCACACCCCAAAGGGAACCTACCTGCAAATTTTGAGCGAAATCGGAGAGATCCACTTGCACACATACTTTGGTATTCTCAGACATGCTCTCTTAAGTCATATCAGCATGAAACAGGTTTTTGGTCTCCCTCGCCGTACCCCGACTGTCTTTGTTTTGCGGCACGCTAAGTTATACTCCCTCGAATCTCGTCTCAACTTGAGGCTTTTTATTTTTGTTTTCCGCTGTATTCATCAGCTTACAAGTCCTCTTCTTTCCTCAATGTTCACCCTCCAGTCGGCTGCTACTTGCACCGAGAGGCGCACTAGAGGGCAATCATTCTCTTCACTTTCTTTGCCCGCTGCTACCACTAGATATGGCATGTTCTCCATTTCTTTCCTTGGCGCTGATAGGTGGAATTCTCTGCCTGTCTCGTGTCGTCAGGTTGAGCATCTATCCGTTTTTGTTTCGCTCTGTAAAGAGCACTTAGGGTTCCCTGTAACAAGACGGCAACGTCTGTAGGGCCTTCCCTATCAAAATAATAAATTCTACTACTACTACTACTACTACGTATGTAATCAAGCACGCTCAGGTCATGATTTTTTTTTTTTTTTTTTTTTTTTTAATTCCACGATGGCGTGACGCCAATAAGGATGATTAATAAGTGCGATAGAACTGGTACTAGCCAGAAACAGCTAGATGGAAATTAACCGGGAGGCAAGAAGCAATGGATCATGAAAAACAAGCGGGGGCAATAATGTTAGCAGGGGTGATCGAGATAGTTAAGTACACGTTCGAGATATCAGAAACCAGGGGGATGCGCGGAGCAGGAGCATGTACTGCTCAAAAGAAGACTGGATGCATTGTTTCGGAAAGAATTTCTACGAGGTTGGGTTGTGATGTCGATAGGGAGTGAGTTGTAGAGGGTGAGGGCACTGTTGATGGGGGAGTCTCGGTGCCTGTTCGTGTGTGCGTGTCCGATGGAGTAGGTCCTTGTCTGTCGAAGGGTGTATGGTTGGTGTTGACGTTGTGGTGCAAGATGTGGTTGTTGCAGGTGTGGTGGGGAGGTTTGGTGGTGGATGTCCCATGCTAGTAGGGCTTGTTTAACAAGGAGTCGTGAGCTAAGGGTGGGGAGCTTTGCGTGATGGAGGAGGGAGCTGTGGTGAACTGGTACAAAGAGGGGAATCCGAAGGCAGATGCGTATAGCACGGCGTTGAATTCTCTCCAGTGTGTCCCGCTGTTGCTGTGTGGTGTTCGAGAGGGCAAGGCTGCCATATTCGAGAACGGGTCGGATGTAGGTTGTGTATATTAACAATAGGCTGGAAGCGTTCATTGTGCCACGTGTCTTGTGGAGTTGGTGTAGTAGTTTTTTGGCTTTGTTGGTGGTTTCTATGATGTGTTGGGTCCATCGCAAATCGTCTTGGAGTGTAACACCAAGGTGCCTATGTTGGTGGACCTGCTGCAGCCGAGTCGAGTGGAGCGTGATGTGGATGGTGTGTTGGGGTTGGAAGGAAAGGACGACGGTTTTCGTGGTGTTGACGAGGAGATGCCAATCCTTCAACCATCGTCCTGCTGCATCCACGGCACGTTGGAGGAATGCAGCTGACAAATCCCTCGTGTAATGCGTCGCGATGAGTGCCGTGTCATCGGCGAACTGGCTGCATTTAGTGTGAGAGTTTGTACATGCTGGGGGGAGGTCGATCGTGTACACCAGGAAAAGAAGAGGCCCCAGGACAGAGCCCTGGGGTACTCCAGCTGGAATGGATTTCCATGATGACAAAGCGGAGCCAACCTTGACGCGTTGTCGGCGGCGAGTCAGGTAGCTTGTGAGCCAGGTAAGGGCAATGCCACGGACACCAAGGTGCTCGAGTTTGGCCAGGAGGCCAGTATGCCAGACTCGGTCAAAAGCCTTTGATAAGTCAAAGAAGCATGCTGACACTGCCTGACCGGAATCTCGGCTGGCGGAAATCTCATGCACTAGGCGGGAGAGCTGTAGTTCAGTACTATCCTTAGATCGAAATCCAGATTGGTCGGCCGGTAGGTGGGGCTCAATGTGAGTGTAGAGGCGTTGGTGAACAATCCTCTCCTGAACCTTGCTGACAACGCTTAGGAGCGAGATTGGTCTATAATTGGTGACCTCTGCACGAGAGGCTTTCTTGTGTAGAGGACTGATAGTGGCGTCGCGCCAGTCCTGTGGCTGCTCGCTTCGCGAGAAAGACTCGTTGAAAAGTGTTGCGAGGGAGCACGATATTTCGTCTGCAGTGATCTTGAGCAATTTCGTCGGGATGCCATCGTACCCAGCCGACTTCCGGAAATCAAGAGCGGAAAGGAGTTTTCTGACCTCCTCCTGGGTGGTGATGATTTCCTTCAGTTCGCTTCCGATGATGCGCGACATGCCAATCTCTGGCACGGCTTCAGTTGGTCCGGAGACGGACTTCTGGCTTTCCGAAATGAAAAAATTGTTAAACGCTTCCGCCTTTTCTCCATCTGATCTAGCCACTGTTTCGTTCGCTGAAATAGGTGGAAGCTCCTTTTTCGGGGACGACCGCAGTGATTTCATTAACTTGTACAGGTTTCGCTGTGGGACACCAGTTACGTCGCCTTGCGCGGTAGTGGATACGATGGTGGATTTAGCTTCTCTCAGTAGTGTTGTGGTCCTATTGCGTTGAGTAACGAATGTGAGCCAGTTCTCGGCGCTGCGAGTTCTGAGATACTGACGGTAGAGCTGATGCTTGAGTTTAATGCTGCAAAGAAGCTGTTGAGTCATCCATGGTCGCCGACCTGGGCATGTCTGGTGTGTACGTCGTGGTGCGAAGTTAGTACAGTACAAGTGTGCTGTGTTGATAAGCGAGTCATGCCAATGCGACCAGAGGTCTGTCATTGATAACTGCGGGATTTCCTCAGCTGGTGGCAAAAGCTGCATTGAGCTCAGGGCTTCTTTCAGTGCGACGACGCGATCAGGGTCCCAGTTCCAGCGCCAAGCTTCGACGTTTTGCTGGGGTGTTGGTGCTTGTGGTGGGCATGCAAGGGACACATGTCCTCCGACGAGTACATGATCTGACGCTCCGACAGGGGTATACCATGTGACAGATAGGTCTTCTTCTGGTACGTTGGAGATGACAACGTCGAGGCAGGACTTCAAGTTGCCTCTGGAAATACAGGTCGGAAAAGACACGTGCTGGTTTAATCCTGCAGTGTCTAGTAGGTAGCTCATGATGGCTGAATCTTGCCCGAGCCTGCAGCCCAAGGGCCGTAGGCCCGAGGGCTGCAAGGGCCGTAGGCCCGAGGGCTGCAGGCAAGGGCAAGATTCAGCCATCATGACCTCCTGAGCGTGCTTGATTTGATTTCTTACATCGCGAAGCAACATATTAGGGAAGGTCAAAGGTCGAAAGGTCGAAAAATTATTCCCGAAATGACGTCAAACGGTCCGAACATTCCCGAAATGACGTCAAACGGTCCTGAAACTCTCGAAATGACGTCAAACGGTCCTGATGGCCTGATTATGCCCGCGGCGGGAAGATCGGCTATTGGCTATGGCCCCAGCAACGATCACGTGTCATGTAAGAAATAACCATTATGGTGGCTCAGTTCACACGCTGCACGGTTCGGGCTCCCCACGCCCGCGTGGGCTTCGTACCATGTGTTGACCCTTGCACCTGAATCCATATCGGGTAGTTACAAAGACCTCCACACTGTGGATAGGCTCAGCCCCCTCATCCATATACATGTACAGGGTTAGTGTATTTGTCGAACTATTTACAGACTCAAGTACAAGCAAGAGTACATACCCCCCCCCCCCCCCGGCCCCCAGAGTGTGCAACGCCGATCCAGCTCTGCATAGGCAGGGTAGGGTGTAGGCCCTTGGTCAAGCGGAATCGGATCTTCTGATGTCATGCGTACACTCCACACCAGTGCAAGGCCGGTCTCGAGGCAGGGCACCATTGTTTTTGATCCAAGAGTACCCGCGACTCCCCGGGTTCCCCTCAGCTGTGTACGGTATTATGACGCAAAGATCCGATTCGGCTCGACCAAGACCCTATGCAGAGCTGGATCAGGCGTTGCACACTCTGGGGGGTTATGTACTCTTGCCCCCCCCCCCCCCCCGCCAGAGTGTGCAACGCCGATCCAGCTCTGCATAGGCAGTGTGTAGGGTCTTGGTCAAGCGGGGGGTTATGTACTCTTGGTACAAGCAAGAGTACATAACCCCCGGTACTCTTGGTACATGTACTGTACAAGTAACCGTGATCCCATAACTTATAGTTGTCGTATTGTCATTTTGGTATGCATGTTCATTGTTGGCGATTGCTCAATTCTTCATCAAAAAAGTCCACTTTCTTCTTGTCCCTCATATGATAAGTAATAATTGAGTGAGCCAAGTTAGTCGTGCTGCCTTGTCTTCTGAATGACTTCTTGTAATCTCCAGTCTATAAACACCTTGTGAGTCCAGAGAGAGATCAAGTGTGGTTGCTTGCTGCATGTGCCAAAAAGAAGTGTCCTTCTCCAGTTGCCTGACTGAGTCTGAGTGTCTTTCTACAAACTGTGTAGAGGTAAAGGACATGAACCTCGTACTCGGGAAATATACTACCCAATAAAGTACCCTCCTGCCTCGTGCAGTCGGGATTTATGTTCGGCTACTATCCTCAGTCCAGTCGGGGGATTTTCCCTGCACACTGACGCACAGAAGCGATCACGACATCCACACGCAGTCAGTGCACACAAAACATGAAAGGAACAGGACATTCCTCAATAGTAGCAGCATGCTTCAGAAGCCACATCGCCATGGTCCTTTGACAGCAATGCCGACAACGACGTCACCACCACCAACGATAACAAACGTGATTGTCACCGGCACCTCCAGCAATGACAGCAACACCACCAGCACCCACGAGAAGATAACGTCACCAAGGGCAACAGCACTCTACTATCACCATGGCTGGCTATCGCCCACATCACCTTTTCATCGGCTATTAATGCCACGTCCTTGAGAATAAATAAATAAATGAATAAACATTGGAACTACCACCAGCCAGCATCCATGACACTGTGTCCATGACGCTACCTCAACAGCTTTGACACAACCAGCCACGGTAACAATGACGCCACCAACAGCCACATACACACAACCACACAAGCCACCACCATTACCACTACAACTGTCACAGTAAGTTTCCACCTTGAACAGCTAGGATGAAGGTGCCTTAAAAAAAATGCAACAATAATTCTGTGCGAATTGCTATGGAATAAAAAAAAAACAGTTGTGTATTCTACGCCAGTGGGAAAACTTTTTTCGGTTGAAAAGTGTTCATAAACGGTGTTTTTTTTCATGAAAAAAAGTTGTGTGCTTGTGTGCAATTGTTGTGGGATAGATGGAAAACACGAAAGCCCCTAGAACAACGTATAGGAAACACAAGATTGATGAAATGACGCAATCGTTTGACAACTAGGTGATATATCTAGCCATAAGACAAATCCATTCGGCGGACAAATACGTTGGAGACTGAGTCCTTTATAAAGTTGCTGGATAAAAAACATGATATTGTTCACATTCGATTATGCTGACATAGCGCTTGGCAGCAACGGCTCAAAAAATAATAAACACATTTGGATATGATGGCATAGGGTGTGCAATTGAAGAGATTCAGGAATAATTGAGTATAGTGTGAAAAATACAGGCAGCAGCAAGTGATTTGCCCAAAAATAAATGCCGCAGGACAAGACAAAACAACTGGTGATAGTAGGGAAAGAGGACAGTGAGTGATACACAGACACAAATTCGGAATGCAAGCACATACCCGCACACACACACACACACGCACACATGTGCGCGCACATGCACACGCACACACACACACAAACACACAGAACACATGCATCCGTGCACGGTCTTGTGTCTGGTGCTGTCAACAATGACTATATCAACCTTATGTGTGCATCTGTGGACGCTTCACACACACACACACACACACACACACACACACACACACACACACACACACACACACGCGCGCGCGCGCATACACACACACACTTACACACATAGACGTCAACTCGTCGTCATATGCGCATGCAGTAGACTGACATCGTCCCACACGGTACAACCCACTCGCATGCTCTATACTACTCGACTTGGCTGGCATGCGCGGACACACATACTACAGAGGTGTGGGTGGAGAAGTAGCCGGGACACACCATAAACACCACCGCCTTACTGGTCGGACGCCAGGCTGGTTAGGAGAGATTTGGCTTTCGTGACTTGGTTGCGTTGCACTTCCAAGTCGCGGTTGAGCTTGCTCAGACGCCGTCTCAGCTGCTCGTTCTCCGAGTGCAGGTGCTTCCGCTCGGCCTCTTCCTCGGCCAACACCTGCTTGACAACTGTCGCCACGGAAACCTCCAGTGGTGACCGCATCTGCTTCAGAAGCTCGTCCACGAGATGGTCCTCAACACCTGAAATTAAAGAAACACACAAACAAATGTCACGGTTCGCTTGAGACTCAGTTAAGCGAGATTCACAGAAGCTTTTTTTTGCGATGCGACACGCGATGCGGCGCGATCTGCGACGGACGCGTGCGATGCGAACTCGCGAAATACCATTCACAGAAGAAGTCAGCGATGCGACAACATCTTGCTGATTTGGCTACGTCACGATGATATTCGCGCGGTTTGATACAACTTGTACAAATTGATAGGCAACTCTTGAACCTTTGTACAACTTTGCGGTAGAAAAGGTCAAAATCGTACACCACATCGCTTGTCTCATCGCATCGCATCGCAAAAGTTGAGCCTCGCTCAACTTCTGCGATGGCCCAGTTGCGTGGAGTGCGACATGGCTGCGATTTGGGGTTTTCCCGGTTTCGCGCCTGTCGCATCGCAAAAAAGCTTCTGTGAATCCCGCTTAAGACTGAGTTTTCAGCACCCGTACGAACGCCACCATCCTCTAGGATCAAGGCGCAAATGCAGCTCCTAAAGCGGGGGCAGGTGAGTAGATCAGACCTGTCAAAAAGTGGTCAAAGACTGAAATCCTATTCTCTGCATCCCTGCTTCCCTGAAACCCACAAACACCGCAGATAATTGTGGAGCATGGAAAACGTCTCTGATCCCAGAACAGGTTTGTGATGCTCAGGTGGAGTCCTGATATTAGACACCCATAGCAAAAAAACGTTATGCTGTAACGGTATTACCGTAAGGGGGGAAAATACCGTGATTTGGGTTTGACCTTTAGCAAGATGCACGCTATTTTTAGTACCCTGTTGCCACGAGAATAGCTTTCATTTCCCGCGGTACAACGATTTATGTCACCATATACGCGATACAAGGTGAAATACGTACGGACTATTCAATATTTGGCCAAAACACGTACCGTTGGTCACAACGATAAATCAGCCCCCTTTTAACATTTTTACGCTGCAGCTGCAACGCTATTTGGGCGATCAAGGTACGAGTACCGTAAAAAAATAGCGTTACCGTTGTTTGCTAAGGGTGTCTACTAGCAATTCCAAACGCTAAATGCCAGGGAGTATTTTCTATCTTTTCCGAAATTCAAATTGTCCAAACTTGCACCAACTCATTATAATGTTGAAATGCTCGCATTTTCACGCACCATTTCACTATGCACCGTAGTCCAGATTTCAGGACACATTGACCCGGAAAATAACTTACAGCCTGCTCATGAACACTAAACTGACCAGCACAGTGTACAGTGGACTTCTGATAATGATTAGCTATCATTCAATACGCCTTTCAAATGCCGAATCATCAGCAAGAATCCCACACATAATCCTCTGTAGCAGGATTTCATTGAATTTCTATTTGAGCATACACTATATGCCAAGTTCGAGGCGCAACTCATCGATTCTTGTCGTGCAGAGATAATAATTATCGATGTGCTTCAACGCTATTTGGGTGATCAAGGAACGACTAACGTAAAAAATAATGTTACTTTTGTTTGCTAAGGGTGTTTATTGAATGAACACATCCGAAAAATGACTTACTGAGAGAAGACGGCCGTCCTGATATTGTAGGTGCCGAGCGCCGTCTGTTCCGTCTGTCAAATGAAATGAGAGGTGGAGAAAGAGAAATACCGAGAGAGAGAGAGAGAGAGAGAGAGAGAGAGAGAGACCGAGAGAGAGAGAGAGAGAGAGAGAGAGAGAGAGAAAAAGAGAGAGAGAAAGAGAGAGGGGGGGGGGGGAGAAACAGACAGAAAGACAGACAGAGACCAATGAGTTTTCACCATCGGCGAACCCCATAGAAAGGGTTTCAGGATTTACTCCAGGGACTTCGTACCTATTCGAGGCGATAGCTGAGAGTTTTGCCTACCACCTAAATCCTTCGATTGTTGAATTTGGGCAAGATTTGGCCGATAACCGAAGGTTTGACTGCGCCCACATGCATACAAAATGCCCATGGTTCGAAATCGAACCATGGACGCCAAAGGGGAAACACACTTTCAGTGCCAAGGACGAGATAACTCGTCCTGAAACAACCACTCTGGATGGCCAAGGACGAGAAGACTCGTCACTCACATGGAGAATATAAAAACGAGCATAGATCACTGGGCCAACAGCTACAACTTTGGTCTCCCTACTTCAAATTCAACATATGACAGCTCGTGGGAAAGCTATGGAACGCAGCTTTCCAACAACGTATTGTTCATTATAGCGCGGAGTAAATACTCTAGCCCGAAGCTCGAAGTTCGGGAAACGGGTGAATATTAAATTTCAAGCGTGTGACTGTGATGCACTTCATGCTGAAATTGATAAGGGGTGAGAGCTGGAACAGCCTGATTCTGCTGGTATTTGAATCATCGCTGTACGTTGAGTGTGACCTGAAAATCGAACGAAATAGTCTCTGAGTTTAGAATAGCACTACAAAGGCGCATTGGAGCGGCTTTTGAAGCGTTTGTAGGTCGTTCTCCAGCGCCTACAGAGCACTGAGCAACATGGATCGACAGCGGAGAGCCTAAGATGATGAAAATCCGTTACTGGTGAGTGAAATGGCGATATTTTTTAATTCCCAGTGGGAAAATTGCGTTTAGTGCCATCTGTGGTGTGGTGACTATGTACGATTGGCAACCTCATACGTGCCATTTTGCCAATATTGGACATATTGGCACCTATGAGGCTGCCGATGGTACCAGTCAACCGTAAATCCTACGAATCTGGATTCGGATTTGACCATTCGATCATTGATTCTGAGGGTCTGCTCAATCTGTAACGATTGATTGGTCGAAATCTCCCCCCCCCCCCCCTCGCAGGACCCCATGGGCTTTATAACACGGTGCTATACGGCTATAGTGACGATCCAATTAATTTTAGGTGTGTAAGAATATACCCGGGTGGAGAGCCAAGGATTAATTTTTTGCGAAAAAGCAGGTAAAAGGTGGTGTCAGTGGACATTATAGTGTAACTAAAGTGCCTTTCAAAAGTATAGACCTGTAGATTTTTTGAATAATACAAATTTGGTTCGAGCTTTCTGAAAAATTTCTTCGGAATATTACTCAGGCAGCTCACGCAATTTTTCTCATATAAATTTCTAAGCGATTGGATAAGAGACGTCCAATTTCGAAAATTTTATGCACAAAGTGATCACAGATTTTATGTGGTATAGATACTGTCCTAATGGTTTTTTGAAACCAGAGGTCTGGACTTTTGAAACACACTACAGTAGTTCGTTTGTCCTTTTTTTTGCGATCAGTCAAGTTTACCTTGATGAGGGTTTGGGAGACGGTCGGCTACTGGTCGCAGGTGTCACGGCAGCTGGTGTCACCGGTGAAGACGCGGGCGCGAAGGGCACCATGCCAGTAGCGTCGCCGCGATCATACGGCTGCATCAACATTGGCGAGACCGGTGGTAATTGTAGACATAGGCTGGGTTGGGAGTTCAGCAGGTTACCCGGGGTAGAAATACTGCGGGCCCATGAATACTGTAGCGAAATTAGAAACAATCAAGAAGAGAAAAGCAAGAATTGTTTTCAGCCCTCGTACACAGGGGATTTAGTAGTGTTGTCTACTAATTGAGATTTGTCTTGTAACCGATGTTGTACTAACGAGGGTGGACCTGTACAGATGTTGTACTAACGAGGGTGGACCTGTACAGATGTTGTTCTAACGAGGGTAGACCTGTACAGATGTTGTACTAACGAGGGTGGACCTGTACAGATGCTGTACTAACGAGGGTGGACCTGTACAGATGTTGTACTAACGAGGGTGGACCTGCACAGATGTTGTACTAACGAGGGTGGACCTGCACAGATGGTGTACTAACGAGGGTGGACCTGCACAGATGGTGTACTAACGAGGGTGGACCGGCACAGATGTTGTACTAACGAGGGTGGGCCTGTAAACAGAACAAGGCACACGACTAGTTTGTTGCAGGCCTGAGTTCAATGCCATGCAATGATCCCAAGCAACATGAAGACGCTGACGGCCACGCCAGTATGTACGTCAGGAGCAATATTAGTGGTTTACTGGTGTGGTACTTTGTGATGCAGAAACAGTGCGGCTCAATGAAATCCAGCCGCGTCTTTCAAGTTTGAGCCTCGCATTATTCCGCAGCCCACTGCTCGCAGGTCTATGGCTGAGCAACATGTGTGACACAGCCGGATTTCATTGAGCAGTGCTGGACATTATACTTACTGAAGGGTTGGCCAGAGGAGGCACTTTTCCACTGAAAACCATCGCACGAGGAAAGCCAAGCTGAAAGGCCTTCTCAATGTCGGAGAACACTTCACTCAGTGGCCGTCCGTTGAACAGAATGCTGCACTTCCAGTTTTCCGGATCACCGAAGCCAGCCAGAGCCTCGAACTCCCGCGGTGTCATCCACACCCCCTCGAGATGCAGTGACTGCACATTGCCATCGAGTGTGTTATTGGTACCGTACAGCTTGAAGAGATGCAGCTCGCCGCCGAGCTCTTTACAGTTCACACGCAACACCGGTGGCCACACTGGTATGGGTAGGGAATTCCTCGCACTGGCCGGCATCACCGCCGAATGCATCGCCTGGGTGGGAGCACCACTGCTGGTGCTGGCCAGGCTATGGCTGGTGGGGAACGGCACGCTGGTCGGCCAATCCACCACCCAGGGATCGCTGCCAGCCATCATGGCCAGGTTCTGGTGGAACAGGTCGCTGGCCGCGCTGGGAGAACTGGACGCGATCGTGCTCATGCTGCTGACTGTGGCTGGCCTCATGGTCTGATCGCTGCGAGTCCCCATGGCAGTTGCTGGGTCATTGCGATGCCTGAATTAAGCATCAGGCAAGCAACAAAGCAGATACAAAGGACAGGAACAAATTCAGAAACAGCAACGAACAGCAGCAACGAACAGCAGCAGCAGCAATGAACAGCAGCAGCAGCAACGAACAGCAACAGCAACAGCAGCAGTAACAAACAGCAGCAGCAACAGCAGCAGCAGAAACTATTCTTCTAAGAAAAGTATAAAGCACTTGAAGAATAAATACTGCTTGTTCCGCGTCATCAATATTGTCGCTTATCTTTCAGCTTGGTGTTGATGTTGCCAATGCTCACTTTGCAGCCCATCTCATCTCTCTTTGAGTAAGTAAGTTATATTACTATTACCTGAAAGGTCGAGCTAGATTTCGAGATTATATAACGAGAGCGACGGGCGGGTGAATCGGATTGATACCATGCCACATCAAATAGCACATACTGTCATACTGCATAAGCGAGAGCTGCGTGACGCAGAAGAAAATAATCGGCTACTCGGAATCAGTTCCATTTTGCAAAACGGCCAAGATCGCTTACCCGGGGGATTGCTCGCCAGGCTGAGATCTGAGATCGCAGTTTTCTCGCCTTCAGCTCAGAGCCCATAATACCCAGCATATTTTGTAGGCGTTCAAAATAAATTCTTGTAAAGAAAGGTGAATGATGTCAGGGGCGTAGCCAGGATAGCGATCAAGGGGGGTGCCACGACTTTCCCCACACATAAGTACATGTACATGCACTTATGTTGGTCCTTTCATGCATATTATTCGATCCGTGACATGGGGGGGGGGGGGGGGGGGGAAGCAAAATTCGCCCCTAATGTAGGGACCGGCGGATTCTACTCGAAAAGGTGGAAGATTCTGCTCGAAAAGCAGTAAAATTGGCAGAACCATACAAAGCTTATGGCGGGCAATTCCTCGAATTCTGCTCCATTTCCTTATCCACATACCAAACATGGATGCAACTTACCAGAAAAAGCACCGAATTCTGCCAATTTCTCTGCCGGCAGAATCCACTGAACCCTACCCTAATTCGACGCTGAAGATCAATCAGTGAATGGCAAATCGCTAACCAGGGAGTAGTAATGATTATGGTATTTGACTACACCCTGGCCTGCTTCCAACTAATGATGGACTAAGTCCTGGATACTGCTTTCTCCAGAATTATCACACTCTCCATCGAACTTTTAAAGTGGGATTGCTCGAGCCATTTTTCCCCTTCGTCATGTTTGATAGTGCAGTAAGGCATCCTTGATCAAACCTACACTATTCCCCACAAAAACTCAAACTGCACTTCAACGTTACTAATCAATCTTCTGCTGCTGTATCCACACTTGCAATGCATGAAAAAAACTTTGCCTTTCCACAACGAGACCAATTAACAGCGAGAACTACAATGTACATTATACAAAACATAGCGAGAACAAACTGCTATGTCTGATGTGTGCTTTCCGGCCATAGACCGCTTTGCTACTTCCTTGCTTCTACCAATGGTGTGTTTGTATGATTCTTTGGTTCTAACAAAACATGTGGAGTGTGATGCAAATTATGTGCTGAGCCTGCTGAGGCCTGATGTGACACTGCATAACGGCAGGTACGAAGCGGAGTTCCCTTGACTAGAAATTTCATTGCAAAATGGCCAATCATGACATGAGACAAAAATTAATAGTCCACTGCATGTGGATTGGTTTCAGATACATTGTACTTGCAGGTCTAAAACAGGGATGGCTACAGTGCACTAGTGTGCGATGTGCAGAGTTGCGCATGTGATCAGCGGGTCTGCTATAGTCTCTCTCGAACCAGCTGTGAACCAAGATCGAAATTTTTGAGGGGGTGCTTTGGCACCCAAAGCACCCCCCCCCCCTGCCTACGCCCCTGGATGTGAACCACACAGGTAGTCGTGCTGCCCACGTGAAGTCCTATAGAGAAGGCGATCGTCACAATCGACTTCCCTTTAGAAAATAGCCAGGCAGAGGACAAGAAGAGAGATGAGCTTGCAAAAGCGAGAAAGTCGAGCCCGAACAAAAATATTTGCCACCAGTGCCGAGAGCAGTGACGAGGAGGACCAAAAAAAGCATGAACCCTTCCTTGGACAATAAGGTCCTCATGGCTAGTTGTCAATCAATATCTAACCTTCCAGCATACCAAGTTTTATCACTTCGAGTACACGCGTTGTCCAAAGTCTAAGTTCGAATTGTTGACAGATAAGCAACAATATTGATGACGCGGACCAAGTACCCACCACCCTAATCCTTCCCTGGCAAATGAGAAATTAAGTGATTAATGCAAAGCACCCAACACGTTTCCTGGCATCATTTTGATTTCTAGATATTGTAAGGTACTACTCCTTTTTTTTTCTTTGCCCAAGAAGAACTAGTTGTAGAATGACCAGAGCTCATGCGTACGGCCGCGGGCGCAGGCCAAGGCGCGTAGCGCCTTGGCCTGCGCCCTCTGCCTTGATTCATGGTCAGGTTTACACTCGCGCAAACTGTATATAAGCGTGACACCACCTAGGAGTGAAGATCGCGGATGTGGTAGCCGGATCTTATTCCCACAACAAGTCTGGCTGCGTAGTTTCGCTGTCGGCAGCTGTGACTCAACATTGCAGTACTTTATTTCAGTGTGCAGTCGAATATTTGACTGCTCTGAATATCCAAGGAATGGAGAAACTCGGGACCAAACTGCCGTAGTGGGCGAGTGAGGTCTTATTATTATTATTATTATTATTATTATTGCAATTAACGCTGAGTAATTACACGAATGCATAAAAACCAGCATTTGCTTCCGGGAAGGATTCACAAACATAAGACAAAAACACCATGGCTCAATGTAACTGCACATATGAAAGCAGCTTTTATTGTCAAGTTTGAGTGGCAATGTCAGAAAGACAGTAGACTGTTCGTGCACGATGTTCACCCTGCAGGGGAAAAGTCAAGGACGCGGCTCGGCAGAGGAAGATGAGTACCGCGGGGTGCCATTCCACCGTGACTTATCCCCTGCCAACTGCCGCAGCTGATTAAGGCCTCTAGGCATGCCCAGGCGAATGCCGAGTCAGGCTAGGCTAGTATTGTTTGAGCGAGGTCTACCCAGGAATAAAAGGAGAACAGTTGAGCGAAATCGGAAATTGTCCATGTTCGATTTTCTGGTTGTTGCAGACATTGAATCATAACCTCTTTCATTGTCAGCAGCAAGGTAACTCTCAATAAAAAATCACCTTAACTGGCTCATGATGAGAAAATTCGTCATGCACATGCGCACGGACATACTGTAGGACAGTGTGATGTTATGTGTATTAAATTTCGGTTTCAGGACGGAAAAGGTTTCAGGTGTAACTTAGATTTCGGTAACCAGCATTCCCACCACATACCGTGCGCACCAAGAGTGCATAAACAAGAGTGTGCAACTGTGGTTATGGCCCAGTGCGCGGCACGCTGCCTTCATTACGTAACTTGCCTTCATCACGCTCTGAAAGCATGCATTCAAACTCACAATTTCTCGTACGAGCCCGTCCGTTTTTGCTCCATTCGTTCCAGTACCTACGCGATCTCTGAATTCTGGCGCGTGAACTCCAGTTCCGTACGAAAGTTCATTTCAAACCAGAGGGAAGTGCGGTGTTTGATGTTCCGCAGTGCGCGGACTGCAGCTGAATGATGTAATGAAGGCAGCGCGCCGCGCATCTGGCCCATAGAAAAGAGATCACAGTTGCATACTCTTGTTTATGGACTCTTGGTGCGCACTGTAGGGCCTTTTATGGGTGATATAAATTTAGGAGCGTTTTTTTGTCACCGAAAACAACGCGTTAAACTGTAAACTGTGTAGAAACTGCCATGCTTGAGTCCCACATACATTCAATTAACGCTTTCATTGCCCACGACGAGATAACTGAGTTATCTCGTCGTGGGCAATGAAAGCTCGTCACGAAACAGCCGCCCTGAATGGGCTAAACCGTCCACTGCTGCTCCCGGAGTAATACGTGATTTTATATCACGGCCAGGCTCTGGGCCCTCCTTACATTTACGTGATGAGTGTGTTGGTGAGCATTTATAGGACAAGCATAATCCTATCTCCTGTACGACCAGTAATGCTAACGAACATTTAATTCGATTTTAACGTTCACTTTCCTTGTCATGTCCATTCAAGCTACAAATTCGTTCGCCTTGCTTGCCTAGCACTGAACAATTAACATTCGCCTGAAATCTTGGACTTCGAGTAATCATCGGCTGATGATTTCGGTATAACTTTGAGCATAACTGCATAACTGCACCCTCCTGGAAAAATCGAAATTCGATAACATTTGAAGTCGTGATGTACAACACAATAATTGTGTTCCTTTACAGTCAGTTCCCAGTTTTGAGCCGGAATTCGTCAGCATTTCACCTCGCTAACCCACAAAAATCCGGCGATCGTTAACTTCAATTGACGTTAAAATATCTGGTCTCACAGCACTTATACAGGCATCTTAATGTGTCGTGCAGTGCATCACGTACAACGAGCTGATGGACGTGGTGGAGGGCTGACGCTGCAAACTGGACGAATCCGCTGACGAGATCTGACAGGAAACACACAAAGTGCAGATACAGGGATGGTTTCGTGCTGAAGTAACGTGTCCACTTTAGACGAACTATTCCAGTTAATTAAAAAAATTGAATTCCTCACTGACTCCATTGTAGCAGTGTACACCTCAGGGCCTCTCAACTTAAACACTGAAAACAATTCAACTGACTTATGCCGCACTGATCGCATGTGACCGTGTTCTCAGTGTTTGAGCTGGGAGCTCCAAATATTTCAGCCCGAAGGACCCATTGCGCAATGACGTAATTTGTAGCATAAAAACTAGGGGTGAAACAATTATACCGAATATTCCAATACTCGTTTGGATTTTAAACAAATATAATCGTACTCGGAATAAATCAGAGTACTCGCTCATACATGGTACATGGATTTGCCAGAGAAGTCTGCATTTCAGAGCAGCAGTCAGCAGATATTGATGTGCAGACTGTGTGGTGAACACTTGTAAACGAGTAGAGAGAGAGCCCAAATGACCCACCAACCAATACACCCGAGAAAAGGACTGCCAATCGGTTCAATCAGGGTTGTATCATGTGATTTTTAAGGCCGTTGGTGTGCGATTTTTAGGATATCAAGAATACTCGAGTACTCGAATATTCGATCGGAGAAAATCAGAGTACTCGAACTCGGGTTCTCAGTGCCAACTTTCACCCCTAATAAAAAAACCCTCACATCCACCTGGACATGGTCATGCATGGGGGTGTTGAACAGTGCATTCCTGATCCCAGCGTACTCACAAGCGTTACTCATACATTCCACATTTGCCAACACACAATGGGTCAAATACAGGTACGCACTTTGCCTGGATGACGAAAATGTACGTACGACAAAGATTGCTGCAGAGAAGCGGCAGCGGAATGATTTTTCCATCTATGCTGCGGCCTCGTGGCCTAGCATGAGAGAGGCATGGATGCAGCGAATGGAAATTTCAGTCTTTACTAGTAAATACTTTGTTTGGTAGGTCTGATCCGCTCACCGCCGACGGCTATAGGAGGTGCATGTGCAAGTCAATCCTTGGAGTTGGTGGCGTTCCTAAGGATACGGAAACGTTCACACCCATTTCTACCGGGGACACTGTGGGTGATTTGTAGTGGACACTTGAATATTTCTACTCGGTTGCAAATTTGTGTTGGAATATAGGAGTGAAACGATTAGTTCGAATATTTGAGTATTCATGAAGTTAATTGTTCCAACTAGGAACACACGCTTCTTGCCGAACTTGACACTTGACTGACTCACGACTGCCATCCGGAGCACACGAGGAGCACGTCGCGCCTTCCACTCCACTCCACTTTCTAAGTTCGTATTTGAGTATTCGTTCGAAAATTTCAAACGAGCGAGTATTCGAAATTTTGCACTCGTTCGGATTTTTTTAATTTTAATTTTTTAGTATTGGCTTTCTATTTTTCAAAAACCTTTGTTGTACCGCTCGTCCACTGGTATGCATGTGTTATGCATGCCTTTGAGTCAGTACAGCCAGACCTCGCTTAACCGCACACATCCGTTTTCCACAAAAATATCCGGATAGGCGAGGGAACCGGATAACTGAACACCGTTTATGTTGGATGCGTCACGTATGCTGTAAATATGTAACCAGCTATTTTCTTCCGGATGGCGAGGTATCCGGATAAAAGAGGACCAGATAAGCGAGGTCTCACTGTATTTTATAACTTGGACGATGCAATCACCATGGCAAGTAGCATCAGTTAATGTTCCGAGATATGAAAGTACTGATGAAAATCGTTACTTTACACTCTGTACAAGACGTTGACGACTTGTTTTATGTTCACAGATAATTTCTTCCCGAATTTGTGGAGAACTCACAAATCTAGCTCTTTTGAATTTTGATAAAATACTCGAAATACCGTACTGGCAATATATATGGTCGCAGTGAGGCCATGAAGCGTTACATTGGCACATGTTTACCGCACGCAGGGCGTTACATGCGAAGTCGCACAGGAGCCGTTACACAGGTTTCTATATTGCCGCAGTCCTTTTTTTGCTATTGCCGCATCACTTTTTTGCTATTGCCGCATCACTTTTTTGCTATTGCCGCATCATTTTTTTGCTATTGCCGCATCATTATTTGCAAACTGCAATGAAAAGATCGCCGCACCCCGCCGGACGCGCGTTACGAACGCAACGAAAATTTGTCAAACTAGCCTGGTCGCGCGTTACGCCGCACCCCCCTGCGTTACGCGTTACGCGGCAACATATATTGCCAGTACGGTAATCGGATACTCGATCGAATATTATGAACGAGTGATCGATTGGTCAAAATAGATACTCGTTTCACCCCTTTTGGAATAGTGATGTTGTATGCCTGATTTCTGGCCCTGGAATATGTGTGTTTGATTCAGAGTTACGATACTTTAAAATTATGGGCAGTGCCCAGGTCCCTAACCATCCACATACACATACACAAGCATGCACATGCACACACACACACACACACACCCATGCGCGCGCGTGCACACACACACACACACACCCATGCGCGCGCGCGCACACACACACACACACACACACACACACACACACACACACTGCACACATTCAGACCCACACACACACACACACCAGGGAATAATTTAGCCGGTATCGCATCGCGGTTTGCAACGCTATTCTTCTATGGTGAACAGCAACTTCAATAATTTGTCAGGGAAAACTGCGATGCGTGCCGATTATGTACTGCACCCCGTAATTCAATCTGCACAGCACACATAGCAGGTTCACCACGCACGGATAAAGTCGATACACGAAAGTGCTCCGCATCCTCCCATGCACAATGTCGGCCTTGCAGCTAGATGCCAGTGTGCGGTCCGAGCGTTCACTCTACCTGGCATGGATAAGCGTGCAGTGCTGACCCCGGAAGTGAAGCAGTGGAGTACCGAGCATCACCCAACAGAACTTTACGCCAAGAAACACAGCTATGGACCAACATTACTGTAAAAGCCATTATTCTAACCATTTCCCCAAATTGGCTGGTTTACGTGTACCGAAGGTAACGATTCTCACGCATTCTCAACGCTCAATGGAACAGTATATGTATCGATTTCTGTAAAAAGATTTATATCTTAACGATAGATTTTTCCTCGTTAACTCGTTAGAATTAGCACTTTGTTATATATATATATACTGATGATTGCGTAAGCATGAAACTTAAAGTAGCAGCAAACAAGCCTTGATTGTCCTTGTTGTTCTGTTGTGTATTACGCTCTGCCTTTGTGGTGTTGAGCACTGTCAAGCACTCTGGGTACATCCTTCGGTATATACTGAGTATATGGCTTTTACAGTGCGTGTTTGTTTCTAACGTTTCACATCTTTATCGTCACGGATTCTTCCTTTCCTCTTCAGCTCTGCCGTTCCATGTTTACAACTGCTCATGTTCACGTTGGCTAAAAACCATCACCTGATATGACAACCTTCCCAAAGTGGGTGGCGGGGAAAAAACAGCTTATTGGCGCGTTCAGACTACCGAGAACAGCGTCAAAACGGGAATGGCGATAAACTTTGAGCGACATTCGCACTACCGGTAAACTAATGTTACGTGTGCAACTCTCACTGCGGCCCCCGAGAAGGGATTTTCCCTTGCTCAAAGCCTGAGAACGTTTTACTGCTGGAATGTTGTTTCCGCCGCAGCAGCGAAACGTTTCCGACGGCAAAGTGCAAGTAGCATCACGTCACTAAATCAACTTGGAAACTTTCCCATTCCGTCACTTTTTTTCGGTAGTCTGAATGCGCCCGTAGAGCGGGGTTCGTTTTGATGATGCTAGACGCAAAGTCAGCTGCACTATTCAGGGGCGCAAGCCGGATCCGGAATGAGGGGGGGGGGGTTGCTCCAACATTTCCCCAAAGAACCGAATCATGCATTTTTCTGTGCATTTGATACATGGATTGTTGATATCTTTATGTTTACTTTTAGGGCGCCATTTAACTGTGATTCAAGCATTTACCCTGATTCAAGCATTTACCATGATTTACCAAGTCGAGGGAAAACGTAGGAAGCTTTCTGGAGAATGGAGCAACCATGAGGCCTTGAAGTACCCAATCTCAAATATACCCCTCCATTTGGAGGACAAAATGTACTTCCTCTGTAAGCTAGGTCCAAGAGTACACTACTCTTGCTAGATCATAATTATCACATAAACCATTTTCAATTTGACTAATGTACTTTGAAGTACTAGAAAAACTTACAATGCTTCACACATTGAATGGGGGAGAAGGCAAAAGTACCATAACAACTTCTGGCAGGAGTCGCAGAAAAAGCTACCAGGAGTTTTTATACACTTGCTTCTGGTATGGAGAAATAGAATCAGGTCATAGAGGAAGCAAGTGCAATGGACGGTGGAAGCTTAACAAACAGAATACTAGCAGAGGGCTGCCACATTTCTGTTGGTAGAAATCAGAAGCAGTGTCTGAGGTGTTCAATGTCGGGATGGCAAGGGGGCAGCTACCCCTTTAGAAGCCATAGCATTTTTAGGATTTCAAGGGCCCGAAACAACAGATTAGTACACTTTGGTGAACAATCGTTTTCAGTCGGTTTGTCGAAACGGCTGATCGGAGTGTTCCCGGAAAATCGGAATAGAATATGTCGAGGCCCCTGACAATATGGATAACCCCCTGTCCTGCCACATGAAAGTACAATGGTGAGGTATGATCAACTAGTGACGACAGCGAGTGGAACGCAAAACATCCGTTATAAAAATCTGATAATTGTGCCACGAAAAATCGCGTTCAAAAGTCTGATTTATGAACATGCCCATTTCACAATGAAGGTTACTAAAATATCAAATTCAATCACATCTCAATGTATAGCCTCGCTCAAGACCTTTCCAATGGGCCGCCATTTGCGTGAACCGGACAATCGGTTGCAAAGTTATGGTACTTTTACTTTAACGGCATGGGTACATCAAGTTGGCCTACATGTACATGTATAATTATGGAAAATTTTGAGGGGGGTGCTTCAGCAACCAAAGCACCCCCCCCCCCCCCCCCTGGGTACGCCACTGCTATTTGTGCCGCTTGCAGAACACATGCTGATCACGTGAAGACAGTCTACAGTCCATTTCAAAACTATAGACGCGTAGTGTTTTTGAAATACAGTCAACTTCGCGTATAACGACACTCGCCGGGGCATCAAAAAGGTGTCCTTATTGGCGAAGTGTCGTTATACCCGAAGTCTCATTTTATGTATTACAGTGGGATAGGAATTTGCTCTGGGCATGGAAATTCTGTCGTTATTCGCGAATTGTCGTTATATCCGTAGTCGTTATTGGCGAAGTTGACTGTATTTCAAATTTGGTTGGAACTTTTTGAGAATAGTTTTCGGAATATTGCTCAGGTCCGCTCCACAATTACTCTCATATAGTTTCTAAACGATTGGACAACAGACGCCCAATTTGGAAAAATGTATGCACAAAGTGATCACAGATTTCATGTGGTAGAGATGCTGGCATAACTGCTTTTGCCTAGGTACGCGTCTATATTTTTGAAATGGACTGTAAGACAGGGTTTATGGATGGAGTTGTTATAAGGACAACTCAAGCGCTGGAGAAGCAATCTGCTATACTGCATGTTCAACTTGCTTTCAAAATATGACTGAGTACGAAAATTGACTGTTTACGGAGTGATCCGCAATTACACCAGTACTTCTCTCTCTCTGTCTCTCTGTGCATAATTGAGCAGACATTGAATGGCAGCTGTTACGGTATTCTTTTGCAGACTTTCGAAACAGTTATAATATTTTCGTAGCCCCTGTTGTTCAGTAGACATAATTCGACCACTCCCAAAGTGGCTTGGCGGGTGTCACAACGGGAAACGGTCCTGCCGCCCAGGATCCATTATTCGAGCATAGTTTAGCCAGACAGAACGCTGATGCACAAGATTTGGAAGAGAAATGTTCTGTTTACTCGTAATGCTTTCCTATAGTATAGGACTTACTGATAGAATGGAACTCGGGAGGGATCCCTCGGGCGACGAGTGCAAAAGCACGGAGCCATGACCGAGGCACTCCAGACTTGACGAAGACAACGACTCTGCCGCACTGCCGCCTCCATTCGAACCTGTCGCCTCATCAGGCAGGTGATACTGCAACTCGGTGTGTGCCCGCGCACTCCCTGGGCCCATGCCCTCTGAACCGAGCAGACTTTCAAAAATGGCAGTCATGCTTCTGTCGCAGCCCTGTTGGTGGAGAGTGGACAGGTTCAAGGCTCGATCGGCGTCAGCAGCACCCTTGATGGGCTTGATTGGTGCAGTACCAGATGTCTGGACTGCCGATTTGGGGGGCAGCTCTTCCATATCGGGAAAAGAACGACAAGGCGGCCTTTTGGTAGCCTGCTGCAGTTCTACTGTGTTCTGCTTCTAGAAACTTGAGTCTTCGTCAGACATTTTAGGTACGCACACGCCGGGTGAGCGTACGGTATAGACTAGTCTGAGCTTGGCAAAATTATAAAATATTCATGTCATCTGTCTGGTGGTGGCAGATTCATGCATGTGGTCATGATGAGGGTGATTGTGGTGACTGTGAGCTAGTTCTGGTTTGGCTATCTTTATTTCAGTACAGGTTTTGCCCGACTACTCTTGTAGTGATTTGCTATCAGTACATAATCTTGCTATCAGCCTTCGGTTCCCAAAATTTAAAAGGCCCTCACCATAAACAGGGTCATTTTTGGGCCAGGCGTTCGACCGGGTCATGCATGCAGTGCATGGAGAGTACAAAACAGTTTCTTTTTTTTAGTAGAGCTCTTCTATAATAATAATAACTTTATTAGGATGACCCAAAGGCTGACCGCCTATATATATATATATCGTGGGGTCCGTCGCATTGAAAGATGATGGTACAAGAGAGTAAAGATTGGGAAGGGGGGGGGGGGGGGAGGACTACGAGGAACAGGGTAACGGCATGCCAGCGAGTTAGGCCTTGACCAAATAAACTAAAAAAACAGAGCATTTTATTCTCGTCGCATATCAGGGAAAACGTCCATAATATGCCAAAGGCTTAGCAAGATATTCAAAAAGATATGCCATAAAATGCTCGACATACATGTAAGCAGAAAGTGTAGATCATTTTCAGTAAAATTACAACCTTGGAATATTCATTGGCTTCACGGCTATCAAAGTATCAAGTTAGTTATGGTGCTAATCAAAACACATGCGGAATAGTATGTCTGGGGTGTGTCCCCAGCTGGCCAGCAACCGTAGCGATAGTGTTCATCCATGGGGAAATGTAGCAAACGCCTCAACCATTCCAAATTCATCCGTAAAAGGCATTTCTGAACGCATTTTTGTCCATAATATTAATGTTTTGTCCTCATTTCCTTCAGAATACTTGAATTATATGCTGGCTTCATTCTAATATTCCCTTTGTCGCTCAATATGCCATATATGAACTGTCTCACAAAATATGCGGAAATATGCGCAAGCATATTTGGTCAAGGCCTAGTACATATATAGTAGACATGAATACTGACAAGAATGTTATCAAGAATCCACAAACATTTGTTTATGCACTCTTGCTTCTATATATAGCTATTCTCCTTTAAGGCTTTTCGGGTAGATCTGCCCCATTCCGGTATTTGAGGGTTTTTTTTCGAAAAAATAAAGTTTGGCTCCTATTTGAGTGGCAGATCACAGAGCTACAGAGAGAGAAGACCACAACAAACGATACACAGCCAAAGGATCAAAACAGCACCCACAAACCAAAGCCTTGAAAAGGGCTTGGCCATTGGGTTGTCTGTTTTCTTTCACCCGTCTTTGGACTAAAACGAGAGAGCTTGGAAGCTCAGGGCCCTACGCTATGCTTTGTTGCTTAGCTCATCGTGCATGTTGTGGGAACTGATGGAAATGTTTCCTGGGACGGCGCTGACTCTGCCGATCACGGGCGTTCTGGAGTCGACGGGATCTCTCTCCCGACGTTTCCTGTGACCGGCGCTGACTCGCCCGTTCACGTCTATTTTTGAGGCGACGGGATCTCTCTTCCAAAGTCTAACGCATCCTATCACCTATTCGGCAACTAACGTCCATTCTAATTTCATTTTCTCCTCGTCTCCCTATTTCTTTCCAGAAAGTCTCCCTATCCATCAGGGAGTCGTACTGTATTGTCAGCTACCCTAACGGGTCACGCCGCCATCCACCCAAGCATGGGTACGATGAGGGACAGTGGCAACAGAAACAAAAAAAACAGCATGCAGAGAGAGATAGCAAGAGAAAGACAGAGATAGTAGTACATCTGGTGTGCGACGTATAGAAAAGAGAGATGACAAGAGATGCGCACAAAAAAGGAAACAATAATTATTTTTGCAGTTCCGAAACAATCAACCAGGTGATGGAGTGTAGGCACCCGAAGTTCCACCTGGACTCCACTAGAAGAACATCCCACGCAGGGATGTCAGCGATAGGCCAAGCTTTGAAAAACAGCCATGAGGACACATCGTCTAGAAGTCCACCGCGCTCGGTTAATTGCAGGTTCAAACAATTTCCCACGCGGCGTCAGGCAGCGTAACTCTTCTCCGTGCATCACCATCCATGTCCAGCAACCGTCTCCACTCACAGCTAATGTCTCTGCCACCACTGTACTCCTCCGAGCTTCGCAGTTTGAAACCATTCGGGGGTCAGCTACACCACCGCGAATAGAGAGACGAGGACGGCAACGGTCGTAACTGAAAAGACACTGCCTTGACGACCGCGTCGCGGAACCCTCGCCCCAACAAATTCAGAAACACGCCAGGGGCGACTCTGGTGGACCCAGAGCCACCCCCTTGGCAAGACTAGTAAGAGGAACGACTGAAAACTCAGTTAAACAGAGCAACAAAAAGTGCAACCGTCCACTTCAAGCACAGTTGCAACACACAGGGAGTCGTGTACATGTACATGTACATAATACGACCAATATTGTGGCCAGCTGTGTTTGATGGTACGGTACGGTACGGAACAGATACGGGAGTCAGCAAATGGCCAGCTGTGTTTGATGGTTGCGATACGGTACGGGACAGATACGGGATAGCGCCAGGCGTAACACAAACAAACAAACAGACAAACCCCAGCACCACAGAGCGCACCCTGAATCTTGCTGCTGAAAAGGGCGCCTCCAGCTGGTTGACCTGTCGGCCCCTTCGTCAGTATGGTTTCAACCTACACAAGCAGGCGTTCTGGGACGCTCTCTGCCTACGGTATGGTTGGACCCCTCCAGGCCTGCCAACAGAATGTGTGTGCGGCAAAGCGTTTTCACCGGAACACGCGCTGTCTTGCCCAACTGGTGGCTACCCCGCCATGCGGCATAATGACCTTCGGGATCTCACCGCATCTCTCCTGCGTGAAGTGGCCCATGATGTCCAGGTCGAGCCACATCTCCAGCCGCTAACCGGTGAGACCTTCCGTCACCGCTCCGCCATCTCCGAGGATGGTGCCCGCCTGGATGTGGCCGCATCGGGTGTCTGGGGTGGACGTTTCGAACGTGCACTACTGGACATCCGGGTATTCAACCCGCACGCCCGCTCCAACCGCCAACAGTCCATCACAGCCACCTACCGGAAGCATGAGGCCGAGAAAAGGCGCGCGTACGAAGAACGCGTCCGGGAAGTTGAACACACGTCTTTTTCTCCCATTGTGTTCAGCGCTTCCGGCGGCTACGGCAAGTCCGCCTCCGCTTTTTTCAAGCGTGTCGCCTCTATGCTCGCCGACAAGAGAAAGGAGCCCTTCTCCTCACTTCTTGCCTTTATTAGGTCAAGGGTTTCCTTTTCTCTTGTTCGTGCCTCCAATGCCAGCCTCCGTGGTCACCGCAGGCCACGGTCTCAAGATGCCCGCCAGAGAGTCATTGACTCTGATGCTTCTGTGGTCCTTGCTGCTGCAGAGTGCTTTCGGTAACTATCCGTGGTGTGTTTGGCTACTGTTCTGCTTCGGTACCCCCCCCCCCACTTTTTCATGATTTTGCATGTTATCGTTTTCTCGGATTCCGGTTTTCCACTCTGTTATGTTCGAATCCATAGTCTGTTTAGTCTGTACACGATTTGTACGCAACTTCTCATTGTTTTTTTTTTGTTTTTGTTTTTTTTTTACCAGGCGTGGGCCATCCCCTGATCATAGGTGCCAAAGACTACATTTCAGATTCGAGTCCAAAAAAAAAAAAACCTCCCTAGTTCCGCCTCCCGAAAAAAAAAAAAAAAAACCAAACAAACAGACAAACACCAAACGAGAGAGCTTGGAAGCTCAGGGCCCTACGCTATGCTTTTTTGCCTTGATGACCTAGACCAAAAAAAGGATAGGGATGTTATAAATTCTTGTAAATTTCTCATTTTTTTAAAGACATAATCCCAAGTTGCTTCACGTTAAGATCTTTCATTTGAAAGCCCTATTTGAATATGCATTCAAACGACCCACGTGCCCTTTGCTAGGTTACGACCAATCAGCGGCCTCGGAGAGCGGGCTTTGATTTGCCATCAAAGCCCGCTCCTGGTACGCAAAAACCATCAAAGCTCTATCGTACTGCTCATGCGCACTATCAGTTTTATTGTTTCCTGTGCAGAGTGAGCGTAGAGTTCTTACCTTGCTCTTACCTTTTTTGGAAGTGTCTTACCTAATATGGCCGAGTCATCGTCGGAACCAACTGCCAAGCGCCGGTTCGAGTCCGTTTCAGTGCAGGAGGTGGACACTGTGATCACTGAAAGAGTACCGAAGAGCACATCGTCCACCACGAAGGGATGGGTGAAAGTGTTTATGGATTATGCTGCCGACAATGGAACCAATATTGATCTGGCCACGTGCTCCAAGGACGAATTGAATGAAGCACTATGTAAGACTTATTTGGGTATAAGAACACAGAAGAAAGAGTACTACCAGCGGAGCAGTTACCAGGGGTTCAGAGCAGCAATCAATCGCCACCTAGCTGAGACTGACCGTGACATGAATATCTTCACCGATCCTGAGTTCCGCCGTTCAAACCAAGCCTACGACGGAATCCTGAAGAAACTAAAACGGCAGGGCGAACTAAACGCAACACAGTCCAAGGCAATTATCAGTACCGAGGATTTTGCAAAGATTAACAAGTTGTTTTTGTACTCGAAAGAGCCAAGCAACCTAAATATGGAAGTTTGGTTCTACCTGACGTACCACCATGGCCTCCGGGGACGTGAAGTTCAGTGCCGGCTGACAAAGGAATCCTTGACACTCTGCAAGGACAACGAAGGCAAAGATTACTACACGTTAAACACGAACTTCAGCACCAAGAACCACCAGGGTGGCGCTTCGGAAAACACGGCAACAAAGCAAGCAGGAAGGATTCAGTGCCCTCAACAAGTGTTGGC